CTCCCTACAATATCAAAATACATTTTCTTCTATCTCTGATCGATTCTGATTTTTCCATGTGAATTCTGTGAGGGAAAAATGAGATTCCTTCACCTGCACCAGTTTGATCTTCCGTTTGTTTTAGAGAAATGTTCCAGGCTGTTTCAGAGTCGTGTTGGGGCAGGCTGGAGAGGCAGGGCCGTGGGTTTGTATGAGTACAGACTCACCTGTGGGCGTGCCGGGGCCTGATCCGCTCACCTCTCCACACACACACACACACACACACACATGTGAGGAATGAATGAGCGGCCCTGGCTCTCATACGCCGATATGTGCACCGTGACTCACCCGCCCTGCCACCCGCCCCGCCACCCGCCCCGGAGCCCAGAGTCACCCTTTGTCACGGCGCTGAGGGGAAAACAGTTTGGTCAGTATTTCGGCTCTTACTACATGTGCATTTGTAAAGTTCGTAAAATGTTGCAGCTGGATCAGATTACAGATTACATACTTTTTGTTTGTAACGTAATCCATTAAATTACTTAAAGAGTAACGTAATCTGAATACTTTGGATTACTTGATTTGCTGTAGAGAAGCAAAGACCAGGAAATCTTCACATAAGAAGTTTTGTCTGATAAAAGAAAATAAAAAGCCCAGACTTTACTGAACTGTATTAAAAATATTATTGATAGAAGAGGAGGAGACACGGTTCACGCATCATGATTTAGTCCTGTTAAATCCTGTTTTAGACCTAGTTTAGACCTGGTTTTAGGGTTATTATTATTACTATTTATATTTTTTATACTTTTTGTTATTATAATATAAGTTGATGTGTGAGCTGCTGTGTCCAAGTCATTTCCCTTGTGGATAAATAAAGTTTGTCAAAGTCTAATCTGAGTTTTTCAACTGAACCGACATAGCTGAACTACAAAAGGTGAGGTGATTTTTACAGTTATACACGTCTCTGTCAAATAATCAAATAATAATTACAGTCATCATTAATAGCATCTTAAACTTTTTTGGCTGTGTTTGCTAATGTGTTTATTGTGTCACCATGGTAACCTAACCGACATACACAGACGTTCAGAACACCCGCAACGTGATCGCGTCACTGCAAAGTATTAATAGCCTCATTTAAGGATATAGAATTCCTAGAAGGCCTTAAAGCAGATGTCTCCAGCCGTGCTCCTCCAGTGACCTACCTTCACAAAACGAAAACACCAAAGAACTATTCATTTTAGCAGTTGCAAGAAATTTTGTCTATGAAAGCATGCTTATAAAACATTATCCATTCATTAGTGCACAAATTTAGGCATCAAAATTATACTTGTGTAATGGTAATTAGGGCTGGGTATCATTCAGAAGTCGCCGATACAATACATACCTCGATAGATAGGACACGATACGATACATATCTTAATACAGTTAGCTTTCGATTTGATACGATTCAATACGATATATTTCAAACTGATTCAATACGGTTCAATAAAAAATAAAGACTAAATCATGGCTGTGACACTAAAAGTCTTTGTTAAATCACTTCTTGTGCAAAGTTCATATGAAACACAAATATTTTAATTATCAAAACAGGGAAAATGTCAAATGTGTCACAAAAACATAACATAAGTTTTCTCCCACGAAACAAGCAAGAAAATGAATTTGTTGCAGCGCTACAGTTTAGAAAAATATACAAAAAAAACACTCTTGGCGATATATCAATACAGCAGCTCACGATATCAATACTGTATCATCACACAGGAGTGTTCAAACTTTTTTCATCAAGGGTCACATATCTAAACACAGATGAAGCAGAGGGCCGGTTGAGGGCCGTAGACTGGAGCTCAACACAGTGAATAATTGAAATATGTTTAATGTTTAACACATTAGAATGAGCCATCAGACTTTATTCATGCTAACATCGTTAAAACCACACAACAACACAGTAAATATTAAATATTAGCCATATCAAGGTAGATTTTCAAAAAACTTGAAGTTAAATGTTAGTTTTTAATTGACGTAATCGGTCAATTCACCTGGCAGCCTGAGGGCCAAGAAAAAATTGTCTGAGGGGCACAATTTCCCCATGGCCCATAGTTTGGACATGCCTGCATTAAACAATACAATATATAGATATTTTGATATTTTTGCACACCTCTAATGGTAATAGACGTTTAATTAATACAATTTTAGTTATTTGGCACAATCTGTATAATTCAGAAGTCCCTTGGTGAGCTATTTAGAAGAGGGTGAAGAGCTACAGGTTGGAGACCCCTGCCTTAAAACGTAAGCAAGACATTTACAGATGAGGAAAGGAGAAAAAAATAATTTATGTGTTGCTAGAAAATGATTCCAAAAGTAAAAACCGCTTACACCAATCTTGAGCTGACCAAATTCTCAGTTGCAGCGTAGATTGTGATTAAAACCATATATAAAACGTTGATGTGTCCTCAGTGTATATTCCAAAGGTGCTTGTAAGCAGTTACATAACACGTGCATCATCACATCACATCATCGTGACCCTGTTTTAATACGACAGTATACTGCTAACTATAAAATGAACCAATAAACAAGACTTGGACACAAAATGATTACGCTCATAAGAATATTGCATAAAAAACCATCACCCAGCACATGTAACAGAGTGGATGACAAGAGAACGGTGTGTGACATGGCTGCTGGCTCATTTACAGTTATAGAGAGGGGAGGAGCGTGTTTGAAGTCTATGGACAACTATGTGACAAGTAACTGTGACTTTAGTACGGCTGTAGCCTGGGGAATGTTCACTTGTCTTCACGCGTTTAATTACCAGTACGGGCTGGATCGATTCACTATCAGAAGGAATCGATTGCTGCGCCGTCCGAGCATCGCCAAATCAATTAATGGCGAGTAAACGACAACAATCAGGTGCGCCCGTCAGTCCACACAGAAAATACAGTGTGCAGCAATAATACGCCATGACAACTCAATGATTACAAGTATCAGAATGAGGCGCCTTCATTTCTCTACCACAACAAACCTCTGGACTGTCACTATCATGGAGCTTAAAGGAACTGTATGTACTGTATGATTTTGGGACTGCATGTTCAAATCAAATACGGTTTACTGATGACAACTGTAATACTGATTTACTCTTCATTACAAAACAAATTGATTTGTTTATTATAATTTGCGGTTTTGGTTCTGAACAGTCTCACAACAGTCTTGCGTTTGGTTTGCCAGTAGGATTGTCAAAAGTATCAAAGATCGGCTATTAATCAATACAAAAACTGGTATCAAATCTAGACACAGGTATCGAAAAAGTCCCAGTGACAGGACAGAGCAGAAGCTTTCCTAAATGTGTTTAGAATGATGTTGAGCTGTATCAGAACAAGTAGAAGAGCACAGACTAGTATACGCTCATGGACCACTGAGGGATTATACACATTTAAGCACATATAATATTTATAAAGTAATAAAAAACATTTCATGTTGTTTAATTACATTCTATTGTTTAAATAAAGAGTGATTTTATTATCATTGTGCTATTGGAATAAGGGATCAAGTCTATTCCTTAGTAGGGGTGTGCAAAGATATCGAAATATTGATATATGGTTTCATTAAATGTGATGATACAGTATCAGGCTTAGGGAATGTGCAATAATTAATAGAACAGAAGAATGCAAGGGCTTGCCTGTTAAGGATAATTTAAGGGTCCTGTTGGTGCATCACTCATGGTCATACTGGTCTCATATTTACTTTGTTTTATGGTGTTTGTTTATGTGCTGCTTTGTGTTGTGTTGTCCTGTTTTTTTTTGATAAAGCATGTTACCCCCTGTCCCAAGACAAATTTCTCCCATGGGAGACAATAAAGGATTATCTTATCTTATCTTATCTTATCGATATCATGGGCTGCCGTATGAAGATATCGTATTTTTGGTATATTTAACTAAATTTTTCTGTTACAGCGCAACAGTTGTGTTGCTTGTTAAGGAAACTCTTTTATGCAACACATTTGACATTTTCACTGTTTTGATGATTAAAATGTTTGTGTTTCATTTTAACTTTGCACAAGAAGCAGTTTAATAAAGACTTTTAGTATCACATTTAGCCTTTATTTTTACTGAACAGTATCAAACTGATTTGAAATATTCATTAAATTGAAAGTGCACTGTATCGAGATATGTATCGTATATGTGGCCTATGTATCGAGGTATCAGCAACTTCTTAATGATACCCAGCCCTGTTCCTTAGAATCGAAATTGAGTATCGTTTAGTATCGTGATAAGTTGCCAGTTTCTGTGTTTAAATCAAACTGGTGAAAAATGCCTCTCTCTGCTCTGACTGGTCACTGCCGAAACCCCAGCACCTGCACCAGTCATGAGTCAGTGCTAGTGCAGCCTCTGCAGCTCAGGGAGGGAATTCTGGAGGTTCTGAGCTTCACATGAGGCCTGAACATAAACTGAGAATGAGACAAACTTGGATGTGTCTCTGTGTGCAGGTTAAGACACTGGCAACCCAGATTCAGCTGTGATTGAAGTGTATTTTTAAATGTGTAAGAGCTCAGGCTACATACAGTTCCTTTAATTATTTTGGTCAAGAACACCACGTACAAATGTGTCACTTCACGCCAACACCATCACCACCGTGCTCCCTCACGCTCCCCACACCGCCATTACTCCAGTCACGTGCAGAAGACAACATCATGTCTGCTTTGTGAGATTCCTGAGATGCTTCTGAGCTGACAGCCGCTGACAGCCCCGCACGGCCCCGCACGGCCCCGCACAGCCACGACAGAGCCCGGCCACAGCAGCCCACGGCCCGCCACAGGAAGGATAACTTGGCGGGGAGAGTTATGAAACCAAACGACTGTGAAACAAAATGGCATTTGAGAAAAAAAAAAAAAAAAAGACAAGCGCTTCTTCTGGAACATCTCCTGCCGCCGCGTGAACGACAGTAAACCCGCCGCTGCTGTTAGTTACCTAGCAACATGTCCGCGCGCTAAAAAAGCACTAAAATTGACGGCGGCTTCTCACACGTACACATACCTGGACTTGATGCACCTGAAGCGTTATAAAACACTCAAAAGTTCAAGGGCCTCCGTCAGCCCGTCAGCGTCAGTCAGGGGCCCTCAGCACGACGTGATGAGGAGGAGGTGTGGATGGTGAAGAAGGGGTGGCATGATGGTGGTTACTGGTGGAGGTGGCATCCAAAAATTTAACAAAACGTCACTGTCAGTCCACGCGTTTCACAATGCAATGAGGACAGGTTAACAGCGTTGCCATAGCGATTAGCAATTCAAAATATTATCTGTAAAAAGTCATCAAAATGTTGCGTGTAACAGGAAGCTGCGAGCCATAAAGACGACCCGTGCGGTGCTGGGAGAGAAGGCGGGCTCCAGGAGGTACGCTGCGGGGACAGACGAGCGCAACAACATGGTGAAGCAGCCCATTACATGCTGTCAGCGGGAGCCGCGCTTTACATCCGTGTTTACACCGCCAGCCCACGCCGTTCAGCCCGGGGAGAGGGAGATCGGGCTGCACGCTACAAAGCTTTCCTCACTCGACAGCAGCGAAAGGCCAAAGTCGCTATGGTAACGCGAGAATGTCCTTGGTTATCCAGCGTAAAAAAAAAAAAAACGCGAGCGACGTAATGTTTGGTGGTTAAAATGCCGCGGGTGGAAAGTTTCACTCGGCGGTTGCCAGATAATGCCCTCGCTGCGGTGAAGAGACGGGCGGAGGAGAAGGCGCGCAGACGACACTCGCCATAGTAACTTGTCACTCGTCAAGTCTCGAACCTCTGCAAGACTTCACACGGCCAGGCAGCGCGCACAGACACGACACGGAGCGGGGCAAGTTACACGGGAGGGACCGGGAGAGTTCCGGGGGACGCTTCGGAGTAAGTCAGTTGGGTTTTATTGTGAAAAATGATACTGGGGGCTTTATTGTGAAGGGAGGAGTGTGTGTTTCCGGTTAGTCAGCTGGCCCGTGATGGTCGCGCTGAACTAATGCCATGGCGCCATCTGCCGGTGTGCTCGAGAACTACAGGCAGAAGTGTGTCGGTTTCATCAGTGCTCAGTGTGGGGCCATGTTCAAAACTATTAAAGAGCTCGTATTAGGCTATTCTCTCGGAGTACTTTGTTTCATTCATACATGTTTAACCCTGTTAAACCCTGTATATTTAGGCTGAGGCATGAGGTTTTTTTGTTTGTTTGTTTGTTTTTCTCAAAGAGAAACATTCTGTTCCACTTTGGGTTCTAATACAGGAAGTGCTCCACTGTGTATGTAAACTCCATACACCTTCATTAGAATTATTTGTATAATTTCGTCTCTTGTTAGGATAAATAACTAGGTTTAGGTGGTGTATAACATGATGTAACTGTTGTAACCATGATGTAACTGATGTGCTGCTGTACAGTTATTGATGTACTGCTATATTTTATTATTGTACTATTAGAATTCACTATACAATGACCAGGAAAACAGGGACCAGATTACAGATGAGGGATGCACAGATAGTTTCAGTTCATGTACAAGATATTCTATTTCTATCTATATGTCTAATCCATTAATTAAATAGGGCAAGGACTTACTGATAGGGCTATGCTGACTCACAACTCATCACCCTGATCAGAGCAGCAAGACGCACCCATAAGGGGAGTGAGATGAATCCGTGGGATCTTTGTCACAATCGGATAAGATTGTGCAACGTGCCAAGAGGCCTGGCTGCACCAACGAAGAGGCACTGAGTCAAAACCACGATCGTCTCCCACTATAGTCCGTGTATAAAAATCATTGTATAGGCGTAAATATTCAGTCTCTGCATGGGAATGTCAGCACAGACTCCTTGTACAAGTATGACTTTTCTAATATTGGAATAAGTAAATTATCTGGACTTTATTTCTGTTTCAAGTGTAATTTTTTGTCTAAGCAGAAACTAATGAATGAAAAGGTTATTTTCCTCAACACTCTGGAAGTTCCAATGTCTACTGAACTAAAGGTAAAATGTATATGTTAACTTAAAACTATTGCTTCATGACATCACAAGGTGGAAGAGAGCATTTTGGGCTTGAGCTGGAGACAAACAATGGATGTAACTATGTTTTTGAGTAGGTTAACAGTATTCTAACATGGCTTCAAGTTCACAAGAGTCAATTTTGTGTAATGTAGGACCTTTAAGTGTCTAATGTATGAAACAATTTTATTCTCCTATTCTATGTTGCACATGTAGGCTATACGTTATACATTATGAATGTTAAAGCTGCACTGTGTCACTTTCCCATTATGAAAAAGGAATAACTCCAAAAGGTTTCAGAATTTAAAAAAACAACAAGTTGGCCTATTTAAGAAAAAGACATGTTTTCCTATACGACCACTGTAGTTAGTATCTTGTACACCACGGCTGAAATATTTTAATTAATTTAACAACTAAATGACCAACATTATAACAAGTTTACAGCTTTTTCTCCTGTAGTGTGGGGTGCCAGTATTTCTTGAGGGACTGCAGTTATTGTAGTTCTATGACCACTAGACGGCAGCACGTATCTTTATTTACTCCCAAAGGTTTGGTAGAAGAAGGCGGAACAGTTACAGTGTCAGACACTTGTCCAAAGTGAAACATGTTTTTGTGGAGTGTAGCGCAAAACAATCAAAACGTGTAAAGACATTTGACCCGTGCGTCCGTGCGATGCGCAGTGATCCACGCGTACCCGGGGACGCGCAGACATGTCGAGGCTGCTCGGATCCGTGAGGGGTTTGTACTCTGTGTTTTGTCCCACACGGAGGGGGACAGTCTGCTGCGTGTGCCCCGGGCTGAGGGTGCCTCCTGTCGGGCTCCCGGCTGTGCTGGCGGCCGGGAAGAAGGACCTGGTGGAGCTGCCCGTCCTGAACGAGGAGGAGCTGGAGGAGCAGTTTGTGAGGGGACACGGGCCCGGGGGACAGGCCACCAACAAGACCAGCAACTGTGTGGTCCTCAAGCACGTCCCCACCGGCATCGTGGTCAAGGTGAGCTCCAGGTGCATTATAAAGGTTCATAATGGGGGGATAACGACATTGTATTATTGAATTTAAAATTTTCTCGAAAGTTATTAAACATTCATAACTGGTCTGGTTTTATAGGGTCTCTGGTCTATAGTTAAAACAAATCCCATAGAGCACTTTTTACTTTTTGAGTTCAAGTTCTGTACAATAATCAATGTTGTGGAGTAACAGATTACATGTACCGGAGTTACGTAATCAGAGTACAAATTATGAGTAACTTTATTCAGTTACAGTTACTGTTTCAGTGAGTGGTAATTGGATTACAGTTACTTTGTTGAAATAAATGGATTATACGGCGGTATTTTCCTGTTTTCACATTTTGGGCTATATCCTTTTTTTTTTTTCAGTAATTGCACTCATTGCCTTACACTAAACCAGGTCTAAAACCAGGTCTAAACCAGGTCCAAATCAGGTCTAAACCATGTTTAAAACCAGGTCTAAACTAGATCTAAACCAGAACTAAACCAGGACCAAAACCAGGACTAAAACCAGGTCTAAACTAGATCTAAACCACAACTAAGCCAGGACTAAAACCAGGACTAAATCAGGACTAAAACAGAATTGAACAGGACTAAACCATGCTGTGTCTCCTGCTCTTCTATCAATAATATTTTTAATTTAGTTAAGTAAAGTTTGGGCTTTTTATTTTCTTTTAGCAGACAAAACATCTTATGTGAAGATTTCTTCGTCTTTGCTTCTCTATGGCAAATCAAGTAATCCAAAGTATTCAGATTACGTTACTCACTTTAAGTACCTTAATGTATTATGTTACAAATTACATTTTGGGGTATGCAATCTGTAATCTGTAGGGGAATACATTTTAAAAGTTACCTTCCCAACAATGACAATAATGTACAGTAATGTAATGTTCTGTACATACTTGGTTTGGTGGATAGTACCTGTCCAAAATATTTCTCATAGTTTTACAAAAGTTAAGTGGCAGATTGTGTGGGGGGGGAAAGACAATTCAATTCCAGTTCAATTCCATTCCAATGACAATTCCATTGTCATATAAAATAACTAAATTACTTTAGAGCATCACACAAACTGCATAGTATTTTTGAAAGTACAAAAAGTACAGGAAGTAGTGGAGAGCTGTAAAACAGAAACCCTCTGCTTATGAAAACTCCACAGAAGACTCCATCTAAAATGCAAAGACAATTGTGACACAAACAAGGCATTTTTCTGCCGGCGTAAACACTTACTAAATACATGTGTTGTTGTTTATTGTTATTGGTCTAATCATTACTATTGTGCAAATTAAGCAGAGTTTGGCCCTTGATAACATTATGGTTGCTAGGTAACAGTAATGGAATTACCTCTATATATGTCACATGTGCTGGCCGTGTCCAATCAGGATGCAAAATTTTATCCTCCGCAAAAAAAACCCAAAAAAAATCAGTATTCTTAGTCAAATATATTGCTTTGGTTTTGCTTAAAGAAGTAGACAAACTTGTCGTATGTACTTTAAGGTGGACATAATTACATACAGTAGTTCATGTAACAGTTCACATTTTCACATTTTGATGGCTTCAAGCAGCACATGTACTTTTAATCCATGAGTTTCAGAGGGATGTAAATCTAGCACTGTTACCATAACAATTAACATTTCAAAATCAAATATTATATCTCTTGTATGGTCAAAGGTCTTTGAAATATCACTTAAACATAAAGCTGAACCCATAAATAGAATGATATGTAATTCTGCTGTTTCCTTCCACAGTGTCATCAGACTCGCTCCGTAGATCTGAACCGTAAACGTGCTCGAGAGATCTTGAGGGAGAAGCTAGATGTGGCCCTCAAAGGAGAGCTCAGTGAGATCTGTGTGAAGAAAAGAGAGTCTGAGCAGAAGAAACAGGACAAGAGGAGGAAGGTCAACCAGAGCCTGGAGAAGAAGAGGCTGTTCAAAGAGGCTCTGGCTGCAGGTGCCAAACCCACTGACAAAGACCCATGAGCAAGGTGCCAGCTCAGATGCTAAAAACATGTACTCACTCATTCAGTGTGCTGCAGGTGGCTCATCACCCTCATGGTTCCATGGAAATAAAAAGTTAAAAGCATAATTCAAAATATTCTTTATGGAAATAGATGCATTTTGCCATACTGTGGGAGATGTGCCATAGGAACAACATCCCCATGGAAACAAGCAGGAGGAGGCTTCCTACAGGCCAGATAAGAGTCAGGTTTGTGGAGATGCAAGCCCGCTTACAGAAAGGACGTATGAAAGGACGTAAGTTTTTTTCAGTGCAATTGACAACTTAAATGAAATAAAAAGCTTTTTTTGTGTATTTTTTAGCTAAAAAGTTACATATTGTGATTTTATCGCATAAACAGTGAGGGGGAGTGAATAAAAAGTGTTCATTCTTTCCAAGAGTACGGTGTTCAGCAGTGTGTGCTACAAATGTACACCAGTGTTGTTCATATGTGGACCTTTATTTGAGATCTCTTATAAAACTTTACTCAGTATGTACATATGGACAAAACACAAATTTCCAAAAAAAAGTGCTCACATTTTGGAGTTTTTGGACCAGACCACATATTTCCATGACAAGTGGGTTTGAATAAATAACATGGCACGTTTTATACACAAGGCTCCATGAAGAGTCACGTGTGGTGCAGGAGGTGATGGTTCTTCATGGGGGAAGGGGCTCTCAGATGCAAATTTTTTGTGTTTCTATGTTTTCTATTGTGGGGACACTACATAGCTTTACATACTTAACTTTATAGTAGAGGCCCTGTACCCAATTTTTACCATCTTTTTGAGCAACATATGTCTTGCAGAATACTGTCTGCATCTTATTACAAGGCCTTTTATTGTCCGATAATCAGGAAATGCATGTTAGCGTGCTAGTTGTTGTTAGCTTTGCTGTCTTTGACAATTGTGAAATAATAATCTTAATAAGCCTACTTTATCTAAAAAGGCTAGTTTTAAAATATGTTATTGCTCAGAACAGAGGATGAATGGAGGATAATGCAGACACATGCTGCTTTGAATGTGCAGACTCAGAAGAGCAGACACTGATTTAGAGCAGACTCTTCTTTGAGTCCATTCTCTTTCAAGGAGTGGGTTTTGAACATTGGTGTAAAGAGTATTGAATGTGAACTTAAGTTAGGATAGAAAGGAGCAGAGACAATAGTGAGCCTACTTTAATGCGATGAATACAACTATACTACAATTATAATCAAATACGAGTTTTTAAAATCTGTTTAAAAAACAATAGGTAAAAGTACCCAGAAATGTGCATGTACCTGTAGAGCAGTGCTTCTCAATTATTTTCTGTCATGCCCCCCCTAGGACGAATAAAACATCTCGCGCCCCCCCGCGTGACTATAGATAGTATCATTTGTCTATAAAATTGTTATAAGTACACCTGTGCGTAACACTGCCACCTAATATGACGCCAACAACGCTCGCTGGTTTACTGAAGTAGCAGTCACAAAGCGGGATGATTGTCGGCAATATTCGGCACGTTTTCGCTGAAAAATCTCAAGCGGCTTATCAGAGTGATTGGGGTGTAATGTATTTAAGTGACGCCTTAATTTATTGGGCTTCATGCTGTCGGCTGCCAACATTTTTAGACGAGTAAGCACACCGGTCTTTCCTCGTCTCCCACCGTTGTCACAGTGAAGCCAAGCGCTACATACGCTTCGTCATATTTCCTCGTCTTAGCTTTTGGGAGATTTTCGTTTGTCTCTTTATCTCCGTCTCTCTCCGTCTGTCTTCTCATCCCTGTTAAATATTTTTTCATGGTGTCACTTGAGGGTCTGCTACACTTGGTGTCTACACTTCATACTCAAACTCTGTGCTGTGTGCAAAGCGCGCATGCTCAGTGCAAACAAAACTCCTACACCACCGAGCGAATGCTCCCTGCGCACACTCTGCCAATGAGAGCGCCACTGCCCCCTAATGTAGTGGAAGTGCAATTGCACTTTATTCTAAAGGCCCGTTCAGACCAAAGCGTCAAATCGTCCACTTTCTATGTAAAGCCTATGTGGACGCGCGACTAGAGCGTCCTGCGTTTTTGCGGCGCGTTTTCGGCGTCAGCGCAGCGCGTCTTCAGCGTTTTGGCGTCAGCGGCCAAGACGCGCGTCCAAGGCGTCAGCGTCAAGAAGTTGAAAATGCTGAACTTTTCGCGTCAGACGCGCCGCGTCAATCAATCAGGGACGAGTATCCAGAGACGCAGCGACGTTATTATCAGGAAGAAAGACCCGAGAACCAGAACGAGAACCACAAACATGAACGGAGAATAAATATATACGCCACAATCACCGAGCCGATCGCGAGGACTACACCAGGACCGGACCAGGACCAAACCAGGACTAGACCGAGACTAGACCGAGACTAGACCGAGACTAGACCGAGACTAAACAAGGACTAGACCGGGACTAGACCGTGATTAGACCAGGACTAGACCGGGACTAGACCGTGATTAGACCAGGACCAGACCGGTATTAGACCAGGACTAGACCGGGACTGATCCAGTGTCATTAGCGGAGTATAAATATATATACGCCCCAGTCGTCGACCCGATCTCCTCCTTTGATGTTTTATGTCATAAAAACACTCTCTCAGTCTGGTCTGACATTGTTTCGGGAAAAGACCGGGACCGGGCTCTTGTTTCCAGGGCAACGGACGCGCGTCAAGTATTTTTGTCCCGTTCGTCCACGGCGTCAAAGATGCGCGTCGGGGGCGTCTAAACTCAAATGCAAAGGCTCCAAATAGAGGCGTCAAGGCGTTTTTTGACGCTTTGGTGTGAACGGCCCTTAAGACAGTAAAAAAAATCAAAATAAAAAAATAAAAAAGCATGCTCCCCGAGGTCAAACGCGCCCCCCTTGACGGAGCCTCGCGCCCCCCCAGGGGGGGCTATTTGAGAAGCACTGCAGAGTAACAGTACATAAAGTGTACATTTTAGTAATTAGTTACTTATTTCCACTCCTGCTTTTGGGGAAACTTAAGATACATAAATTGGCTAACATATTACAAATGTGATCATTTAATAGCAGTGTTGGGGAGTGACAGATTACATGTACCGGAGTTACATAATCAGAGTACAAATTATGACTGTATTCGTTTACAGTTACTGTTTCAGTGAGTGGTAATTGGATTACAGTTACTTTGTTGATATAAATGGATTACATGGCAGTATTTTCCTGTTTTCACATTTTGGGCGATATCCCCCTTTTTTGTTGTTGTTGTTGTTTTTTTTGTTTGTTTTTTTTTCTCAGTAATTCCACTCATTGCCGGAAACTAAACCAGGTCTAAACTAGATCTTAACCAGGTCTAAACCAGGACTAAAACAGGTCTAAAACCAAGATTAAACCAGGACTAAGGTCGTTTTCACACCGCTAGTTCGATTAGTTGGTCCGCACCAGGCAATAAAATTGTTATTATGTAGCAAATACACTACAGTGTGGTCCGCGTTCACACCGGCAAACGAACCAAAACTGGTTCGATTCACGTGTCTCTGTTTCCCCGGTAAAACAGCGATACCTCCAGTTATCAACACCGATGTTCCTGTTAAAACCACGGGCCGTCCTCATCTCAAATTATCACCATGAACTCATAAAACAGCAACATGTAGAACTTTGTACAAACTCACCGCATCAGCCCAGAGCTCGGGTAACAGCAGCAGCCAACAGCGCTCACAGTAGCGCGCAGCTCCTCAGGACGGGGCTGGGGTCTGGTCCTTGGTCTGTTACAAGCTCGTTGGTCAGATGGTCCGGAGGCTCTGTCCTCCATGTGCTGGTTCCAAACGGTGGCGAGAAAGACCAGTGCGCAATGACTGGGTCTGAGCGCGTACGTTCCGTCGTCTGCGCGCTGGTTCTGTTCGGGAAAGTGAGAATGCGCTGTGGACTACAGGTCCGGGCGCTGCTCCTGTCCTCCGCGCTCAAGAACCGCGGCTGGTTCCGAGGTGGTGCAGCATCCGGACAGAAGCGTCAGTCCAGTTTGGTTTGTTATATGTTGTTCTGAGCGTCCGTCCTCCGCGCATTTGGTTCTTCCCGGGGACGGGCTTCCTCAGGTCGAGGCTCCCCGCTCCAACTCCTCGGAGCCCGGCCTGAACCGGAGCTGCCCCCGCTGGTTCAGGACTCTGGTTTGGATCTAGTCCGACTGTATTTCTCACACTAGGCTAAAAACAGGGACTTTTTTAAGTTGTATCAATTGAATGGGCGATTGCCTATTGCCATGAAATTATTTGGTTAATTAAAGCCTAAAATAACAAATGTTGGTTGCTGTGTGATCACGGGGAACACCGGGTCGTCTCTGTGCGTGTAGGTCCCGAACAGGGGTACGCACCCCCAATTTTGACTCACTCTGGAGCCACACGTTCGCACACTGGTTCTTGCTCTGATCTTCGTGTGTTTCATTCTCTGTATTGGCCATTGTTGGTAAAATAATTCGAAACTGAATCGCGGCTGCGTCTGGACAACAATCTGTTACTGCGCTGGAGTCGTACAGTGCGTCATTTCAGGCAGAGGAGACGCGTGTCCCTCCCATGATGCATTTCGAATAGTCTGTTTGTCCATACTGTCTATGGTTTGGACCCGGGTTCGCGTTCATACCAGAGGAACCGCACCAAAGTTGGTCATTTGGTGCGGATTCAAGCGAACCGAGACCACCTCTTTTTTGCGGTCTCGGTCCGCTTGATTTGGTTCGGGTCCGAGTCCGATTGACGCTTTCACACCAACGCAAACGAACCGAACTAACCACTTTTGGTTCGAATGGAACGTTTGGTGCGCACCAAATACTGGTCGGTGTGAAAACGCCCTAAAACTAGGTCTAAAACAGGGTCTAAAAACAGGACTAAAACAGGTCTAAATCCAGGACTAAAACCAGGACTAAAACCGGACTAAAACAGGTCTAAAACAGGTCTAAACCAGAACTAAAACCAGGTCTAAACTAGATCTAAACCAGGACTAAAACCAGGTTTAAACCAGGACTAAACCAGGACTAAAACAGGTCTAAAACCAGGACTAAAACAGGATTTAACAGGACTAAATCATGCTGCATGGACCTGTCTTCTCCTCTTCAATAATATTTTTAATTTGGTTCAGTAAAGTCTGGGCTTTTTATTTTCTTTTAGCAGATAAAACAAAACATCTTATGTTATGATGTCCTCGTCTTTGCTTCTCTACAGCAAATCAAGTAATCCAAAGTATTCAGATTACATTACTCACTTTAAGTAATTTAACGGATTACGTCACAAACTACATTTTGAGATATGTAATCTGTAATCTGTAGGGGGATACATTTTAAAAGTAACCTTCCCAACACTGTTTAATAGCAACACCATAAACAGTGATAGTTAATGGGTTATATTTTGATTGTAATAATGAAAACCATTACATCTCCTGTTATTGTTAATATAAATCTTTGGCAGTTTACAATCAAACACAATCTGAATTCAATGATGACCTATTCCAAAATGAATATAAAGTTTTGATAGCGTCTTTCATACGATAATTATCCAACAGCTGTTTGCGTATTCACCGAGCGACCAATCACGCGGCTGCATTCACGCTCGTGCCAGTCCCTCGAGACGTGAACAGCCAATAGGATCCGCAGAGGGTTTTTTAAATGTTCCCCGTGACGCCGCCCCCTCAGCGGTGCGGTGTTGTGATGTCTGCGTTTACCGGAGACTTGCACTGAAAAACGAACTATTACGGCTGAAACGGGACTGCAAATATCCACCATTGGTCCTCCCCCGTGCTCCCCGTGACCCTGACATGGCAAAAGGTAACCCAGAACCACATATTGTTGACGTTTTCTGCAAGGTAAGCATGAATTACGTAGCAGCGTGCAGGGGAAGCCACGGACACGCTATGGGCTACGGAGCTTTGTGTACTATAGCGCTGCATGTGTCCTAAATAGGCTTCTTACACGGCTTTGCATCTCCACATCGTTTGCACACGGATGTAATGTTGTATGCGTGTATTTATATGGCGTTTTTAATTGTTTTAAGGAAAGAGGAATGTGCTAAGAACTGACAGAAAGCCCGAAGACAGCGTTCAGCACAAAGTTAGCTCCTCCCGGAACGAGACAAAGGAGAATAAACCTTCTCCTAACAAGGTACGTGGTGCATGTTTAGAGTTTATTATGTGCATAACGTGGAGTATGTTTCCCATGAGCCGGTATGCAGGGGGTTGCAGCAGGAGACGATCGTACCGGGGAGTTTAGGACATTTTAGCCTGACCAGTGCAGCTGCTTGGCTTTAAACAGGGATTTACCCCGAGTACTGACTGTCAGGGACACGGTACATGTATACCTCCATGTCAGGTTAATGGTGCACGTATTTTCACCTTGTAGATATGTGCTGTGCAGGGCGCTTCTCAAATATGTTTAATTGTCTGGATTTTAAAAGGTTAAAGGTACAGTATGTAACTTTCTGGAGGTGGCACGTCACCTGCTTGATTCAATAGAAATAAAAGTTAAAGCCATACTTGGAACATTATTCACGGAGATGGAGAAATTCTTTACCATACTGAGAAATATGTATCCATGGGTTTCAGAATAATGACAATCTAGGACCGTTGTGATCAAAACTTTAACAAAATATACCCTTTTAAATGGGAAGTCTACAAAATCCTGCATGAAACAGGAAGCTGAAACCCATGAATAGCCAATGGAACAATATTTCCATGGAAACTAGCAGGATGAGGCCCTCTCCAGGTCAAACAAGAGCCAGGTTTGTGGAAATGTAAGAACCCATGTTTTACACTGTCACACACACTGACACACACTGACACACACTGACACACACTGACACACACACACTGACACACACACACACTGACACACAGAGACACACTGACACACAGAGACACACACACAACAGAGACACACAGAGACAGAGACACACACAGAGACAGAGACACACACAGAGACAGAGACACACACAGAGACAGAGACACACACAGAGACAGAGACACACAGAGACAGACACAGAGACAGACACAGAGACAGACACAGAGACAGACACAGAGACAGACAGAGAGACAGAGAGACAGACAGAGAGAGACAGACAGAGAGACAGACAGAGAGACAGACAGAGAGACAGACAGAGAGACAGACAGAGAGACAGACAGAGAGACAGACAGAGAGACAGACAGAGAGACAGACAGAGAGACAGACAGAGAGACAGACAGAGACAGACACACAGACAGACACACACAGACAGACACACACACAGACACAGACACACACACAGACAGACACACACACAGACACACACACAGACACACACACAGACACACACACAGACACACACACAGACACTAGCAGGATGAGGCCCTCTCCAGGTCAAACAAGAGCCAGGTTTGTGGAAATGTAAGAACCCATGTTTTACACTGTCACACACACTGACACACACTGACACACACTGACACACACACTGACACACACTGACACACACACACTGACACACAGAGACACACAGAGACAGAGACACACACAGAGACAGAGACACACACAGAGACAGAGACACACACAGAGACAGAGACACACACAGAGACAGAGACACACACACAGAGACAGAGACACACACAGAGAGACAGAGACACACACACAGAGACAGAGACACACACAGAGACAGAGACACACACAGAGACAGAGACACACACAGAGACAGAGACACACACAGAGACAGAGACACACACAGAGACACACAGAGACACACACAGAGACACACAGAGACACACAGAGACACACACAGAGACACACACAGAGACACACACAGAGACACACACAGAGACACACACACAGAGACACACACAGAGACACACACAGAGACACACACAGAGACACACACAGAGACAGACACAGAGACAGACACACAGAGACAGACACACAGAGACAGACACACAGAGACAGACACAGAGACAGACACACACAGACAGACACACACACAGACAGACACACACACAGACAGACACACACACAGACAGACAGACACACACACACAGACAGACACACACACAGACAGACACACACACAGACAGACACACACACAGACAGACACACACACACAGACAGACACACACACACAGACAGACACACACACAGACAGACACACACAGACAGACACACACAGACAGACACACAGACAGACACACAGACACACACAGTCTACAACTTTATATATTGTGGCTTTTATTATTTTACTGGTTTCTTTTAAAAGCAGCCATGTGATATCTCCTCAAAATAAAGGCAAATAAAGTGTGATGTGCTAAATAATATAAAAATATCAATCACTTAACAGTATCACTTCATTTTAATTACTTAATCTATAAGTAATGATGCCTGTGTCATTTCTCATTCATCCAAGTTGGTTCCATATAGCTAAAGAAAATGTTGTTAACTGGACAAAGGTTTTGGGGTAAAGACATTTTGGAATTATAATGAATGTATTATTCATGAAACCACTACCACCATTTGTACAAGAGTAACTATAATAGTAGGTCATTTCAACAATAATAGTTCAATTTTATCAAATGTATTTAGACAAATATATAATGAGGTTATTCAACTACATAAAGTGTGATCTTTGACATTCATTTGACCAAAGAACATCTGACTGAAACTGTAATTCTGGCATGAACCACATGATGTGCTTCAAAGGAGACTATTCTCACTTAAATGGGCACAGGGGGAGTTCAGATTAGAGGAGCATGTCAAATAGTTTTTCCACCATGTTAATTAGGAATGTGCTGACAGCTACTACAGTTAGGATAAACTTGACATATTCTCTGAATAACTTCAGTAGTCAGTCTTAAAGTGAAGAAAGAAAAGTACCAAAATACAGAAAGTGGCAGAGAGAAGAAGAATTCCTCTACCTATGTCATAAATGGCAAAGGTATTGTGCATTTCATCATGTCTTGGTCCTTGTTAAGATTATGGAAGCAGTCATGGAATGTCCTCCACGTCTCTCATATCCGTAGTTTGTCTAGAGCACTTGAATATTATTTGGTTTCTTTTTTTCTCCATATGATTATGATTTCCCATTGTTCCAGAGTTCCCAGCACAAAAACCAATCCATTGTCCAGCATCTGCAGAGTCCAGCCAAAGCCCGCTCTCCCCTGGTCCAGTGCAGCATGCTCATCCAGGAGACCAACGACGCAGACCCCACCAGCTCTGACTGCAAGCTCCGAAAAGGTCTGTCTCTCACCGTCTATTCTACATACTAAGACATTTAAAGATCCTCTATTACACTAAATCCATGCTTGTGAGCTTTACACCATGTTCTATTGCGGTTACCTCCTCACAAACATACTTTGAGTTGTGTTTGTTTCACTCACAGATACTTGGCTACCTTTCCTTCTTTTCTACATCAAAACTAGGGCTAAAATCACCTAAATGATTCCAGTGAAGGCGTGTGTAGTTTAAAAACACAGTGGAGCACTTGTATTACCACGTGACATCACAAGGTGGACCAGAATGTTTTCGTTTAGAGAGAAGAACTCAGCCTAAATATACAGGGTTTATGTGTAAATGAAACCAAAACACAATGATGAGAAAATATCCTTATAACATAGATCAGAAAATGGGGTAATGGAAACCTTTAAATGGTGCCATGAAGCCTCCTCCCCTGTGCCCATATGGTCAGCAGATCCACATGTTGACATGCATGTTTCCTGTGCCTGTGAATGCACCTCTGTGTTCTGCCAGCTCATCTTATGACACAACTTAGCCTGGTTTTTGTTAAGCTCCCCTTATCACTGCTGCTAAATTCCTTCTCTCCACCATTTCAGACATACCTACAGAGGGTAAATGTGACGCCAGTGAGCAGAAGACTCCGAGCTGTGCAGAGATGGGAGAGAAGTCTGCAGCCACTGAGCTCAAAGAGTCCAGAGGCGAAACCAAAGCAGGCCCCATGAAGGACAACAAGGCACCAGCGTCCAAGAACCGCAGTCGCGCTGCACACAAGAAGTGGGTCCAAAAAAAGTGTATTTATGCATAAATGGAAAACGCACAACTAGTGTTGTCACAATAGTAACATTTTAAGAGTACTAAGGAATAAACTCAATACTCAGTACCAATGAACACTGTATAGACAATAGAATGTGATGTTCAGTGTTAAATCATAGAACTTTCTTTTCTATTCCCATGTGTCTTGCATATGTGTGTAATCTTCAGTGGTCCAGTAGGTTCATGTTGGTCCATGAGTGTGTACTAGTCCATCTGCTCTTATACTTGTTCTGATACAGCTCAATGTGAGTGACATTTGTTAGTATAGGTACGAAAGGTTTTAGATTCTCTATAGTTTGGACAATCCTAGTACTGACTGTATTCATTGGTCTGTTTAGGAGTGAAAATAAAGCCCCACAAAATAAGAAGGTGACAGACTACTTTCCAATCAGAAGAAGCAACAGAAAGACCAAAGCAGAGCTGAAGGTTTGTACTCTTGAGTCACTGTGAGGTTGGTGACCTTTAAATGTCACTATTTCAAACCATAAAAGCCATCAAAATGAGAAGTACAGTAATAAATCTAGTGTTTTTGAATTTAGAGTGAAGAACACAGACACCTGGACGACCTCATAAAGAACGGTGTGGAAGAGGGAATGGAGGTAACTGTCTGGCATGTGGTAGTGACCAACACACTGTGACTGAATGAGCTCAGAATCTAAAGCGCTTCTATTCACTCCCCAACATACACACTTTTTTAGTATGTGACCAACATCTTCGGCTGCAGCTGACCAGTATTTTAGTGGTTGCCAGTCAGTAATTTAACTGTATTATTGATAAAAAAGACTTTTAACTATTTTTGAAAGTCTTTTCAACTAGTGATGTCACGGTCTTTGTTATAAAAAGTTTGCCACTTATTTTTTATTTAACTAGTTACTATTAATCATGTCAGCCCAACATAATCTTCACTTTTCTAGCCACATACATTTACTCCTACTTGAGTAATAGTTTTACTGATGTAACCATACTTGAGTACATTTTTGGCTAGTTTTTTCATTTTTGTGTCTAAAAGAAATACCAGATTGTGTGCATTATGTAATGTTTTGTCCCTATTACATTCACTTTTTAAATTATAGATGTTACGTCCTCACAGTTATTCTTACAGTTAATCTTGTTTGAGTTGTAGTTTTGTAATTTCATTCATACCATTACTCTGTATTCTACTTGAGTAATAATAGTTTTGTACCTTTTTGTAATGGCTGTCAAAACGTACCATGTGCTTTTGATTCTCATGAAATGCTCTTTACACACCACTGTGTGGGCTCCATTCTAACAGGTGAAGGAGATCGAGGGGAAGGGCAGAGGAGTGTTTGCAGTGAAGGGCTTTAAAAAGGGTGACTTTGTGGTGGAGTACTCTGGAGATTTGCTGGAGTTGTCTGAGGCCAAAGCCAGGGAGGCGCAGTACGCCCAGGACCCCTCCACAGGCTGCTACATGTACTACTTCCAATACCAGACCAAGACCTACTGGTGAGGACACACTACTGCCCTCAACACTGTATTTACTTACTCTACACATGTGTGCTTCAGCTTCTCATTTTACAAAAACATGGTTACTATGAGTCTATTAAGAGCTTACAAAAAAACAAACAAATTAAAATTATTTTGGTGAGGTTTCTCATTTGATTTGGACCCTGGCAGCAGGCATAACAAGCGTGGAGGGAATTCCACAAACTGTTGGCATGCCAACTATTGTGTAAACAAAAACATTTCTACATTTCTTGCACAATAGTCATGATTAGACTAACAAAAACCTATCTGACAACACCTTTTATTTTGTTAAATGAAGGTTTAAATAGTCAGAAAAATGCCTTTATTGCAGAGGTGGGAAATACTCAGTTACATTTACTTGAGTAATTTTTGGAAGAAACTGTACATTTCCGGGTACTTTTCTAGCAGCATACTTTCCCTCTTAAGTACTGTTACTGTCGTTAGACATTACTCTTTGAGTAAAAGTTGCTAACAGTGGGAAGAGGAACCAAAAGCTTTATGTTGACAGTTTGTAAGATTGTTCTTCAAATGACATTAACTTCAAATTTATAAATCAGTTCTTACTTCCCGACTGTTTATCCCAATACATGTTTACTCTTACATTTTCCCCTACTCTACCCTCCCCTGCTTCTTGAGCGTAAACTATTCAGACATTTTGGGTGGAATTTTGGGGTTGATGACCGACGTTCCGTCCAAACTCAGTTACTGCCTGTAATTTTGTACAGTTTGTACTGTATTCCACAATGTGCCACATAACTGATGTAAAACTCTGGTAAATGTGGGGCACAGGCACCATCCACCAAACAGAGTCAGAATGAGAAACCAATGAAAACGTGTCATTTCCTCTTGAATCAAGTGTAACTGTAGAGCTGCAGCAGAATAACACCAGTGTTGTCTTTCAGTGTGGATGCTACAAAAGAGTGCAGCCGTCTGGGCAGACTCCTCAACCACAGCAAGAGCGGGAACTGCCAGACCCGCCTGCACCCCATAGACGGGACCCCCCACCTCATCCTGGTGGCCTCCAGGGACATCAGTGCCCACGAGGAGCTGCTCTACGACTATGGAGACCGCAGCAAAGCCTCCATCTCTGCTCACCCCTGGCTCAAGTACTGACCCAACCACCTCACCCGCCCACTCACCCACTCACCCACGCAACCCACACCTCAAGCACGCCTTTTACCACTACTCCATGGGTTTTAAATGGAGCCGAGAGCTTCCTGTATATTTTTGCTACAGTTTTATAGAATGCTTTTATATTTTTCTCTTGTATTGAGTCGATGCTTAAGGAGCATTAGCTAGTGTGAAATATTGTCCAATGAATTTCATAGACTGTCATTGTAACTTATTACTTGTATTCAAAGAATAAACTGTTTTCCATGCTAGCTCCAGATGCATGTTGAAAATATGAAATTAAACCTGGAAAACCTTTGTCTTTCTGATGCTTATAATATCACACAAGTTAGTCGTATTGTTTTAATTTAATTATAAAATGCGTCTAAAGACTGCAGCCAGTGTGAGTAAAAGCATTTACATATCAAAATATTTCACACATTTCCAGTTAATTCTTTGTCCATATATACATCATATTTTACAAAAGTAGAACTAGAAAAATAGTTGGTCCATAGATTTTGCTTGTAGTGGTCAGTTGTACTAAAATGCTGAGTCTCATCCTCATTTCCGTCTGAAGGAGAACCTGGGAGCAGAGAGAACGGGTTAGGTCATGGAGAAGGCAGCTGTGCTAATGAGTAAACACACTTTAATGACATTCACCACAAACATGAGCATCCACTCATTCAGTCACAAGTAAAGCATTAAGGACCATTAGGAGTGGCTGTGAGAGCGGCCTCTGCAGCAGCCTCGCGTTCATCTGGGAGTTTAGACGAGTGTGGAGGGGCTAATGTGTTCAGGACTTGAGTTATTTCAATAGAATTAGAGATTGTCATAAAATTGGTGCTAGAATTGGCTGTGCACAAGTGCCCGTGTGCTTGCCTGATTCCTTGCTTATACTATTCAACATGTTTTAGTCCTAACCACATTAAAGGGACTATATTACATGATTTTCTCATCACAAACAGACCTGGAGTTTTTTTTTTCACATGTTTCACACACAAACTGCAGATTTAGGCCAAGATCTTCTCTCAGATTGAAAACTCTGTTCCACCTTGTGATGTGATCTGGTAATACAGGAAGTGCTCCACTGTGTTTTTAAACTCTGTCACTAAAATCATTTGGATAATTTCAGTCATGGAATTGCCAATCTCCAGTCTACTAGGTAAAAAAATAAATAAAAAATTTAAAGGGAGTCATGAAACTACCACTACATGACATCACAAGGTGGAACAGAGCATTTTGAACTTTGGAGATGTAGACAGACTAATAATAAAAGGTTACATGTGAATGAATCAAAACACAACTCTAGGTCTGTTTTTGAGGAGGGAACAACATTCTAACATGGCCTGAAGCTCATAAGACGTAATCATATAAGATCTTTTAAAAATTGGCAACCTCAAAATTGGGGACTGTCTGATGGATTATTTTCACCTAAAACCAATATTTGTTTTTTTTTTTTGTTTTTTTGTCAAGATTTCAAAATTCAAGTGAAGTGGTAGTGAAGTTCACAGAACTTTACATTTTTGTTCTAAACTGTATTTACCTGAATAGGTCTATAAGTAGCTGTATTTCAGCCACAGCCACCCATGGAGCTTCATTGCTCGACTTCCATAATTGTTTTAGGTTTAAAAGAAACAGCACTGAGGCACTGTGATGACAAACTACGATTCACACACAAAAACAGTTTAATGTGTATGCACCAAGATGTTTTATCTTTCAGTATAAGGCAAATTCATTTTAAGAGTTAATACTTCTACCAAAATATACCAACGTATTGTCCATCACTGCTTCAAATATAGATGAGTAATGTACAGTATGAATATACTGTTCTGCTTCAACCATAAAAAAGATCATTTATAATAATAAATCATTGGTTTATTTGAACAGAGCTGGATTAGAAATGAGAGCTAAATCACTTGGTTTGTTGTTTTCGAAATATGCTAAATGAAAATACAGAGAGTATTGTCTATAATTAAAACCATTAAAATGACCTCAAGAAAGAAAAGTAGAACAATCATCCAAACTAGAAAATAAACAGATTTCTGTCTTCGTGGTTCATTTGATGGACACTCGCGGTGTTAAACCTGTACACAGACCGTGTTATGGACACTCACAGTTTGCCGATGGTGCTCCTCTCGTCTTTGGCGTCCGTGAGGTTGGCGGAGCTGTCGTGGGACGCAGGGGGCGTGTCCAAGTCCACCTCCACCATGGCCGCTTCAGCGTTAGGCAGAATCCCACTGGACACAAGCAGGAGAGTGAGATCAGATATCACAAAACCATATTATTCTAGAATGACCACACAACAGAGGAGTTTTCAAAAAAAGGCTGCATTCTTTTTTTTTTTTTTTTTTTTTTTTTTATTAAGTATTGTAGGGTCATGATGGAGGAGTGGTTAGCACTCTAAGCCCCACAACAACAAGGTCATAGTTCTTTTTCCTAGAACCTATTTTACTTCCATCATTGTGGGTGGATGATGCAGTTATAGAGACTTCATTATGGTGTTTTTCAGTGTGGTTACTTCCCAGACTCTAAATCTACATTCTTGGACTTGACAATTCAATGGAAAAAGTGAAAAGAACTGTAGCCTGCACTTTTTTCAGTTTTAGAAACCACCTATAACCACAAGTAAACGTGCCAGAGCCTGACCCTGCACACACAGGACACATACACTGATCCTGCTGGCTGCAGGTGCTGGGGTTTAAGGAGCGTCCACACAGGTCAGAGGCATTCAAGGTTTAAACAACAGGATTTCAGTATTGAAACTGGCAACGCAAATGAGAGAGTCATGTGAGGAGCATTCTGCTTTCTGATTGGATAATCGTCTTGAGAATCAAAACATTAAAGTATAAACAACTTGTCCATCATGTCCAGTGTTTTTGTATTTAAGAATAAATGAGCATTATTGCATGATTGTATCTGGGGACACAGTTAGGTCCTGTTTATGAAATTTAAGAATCAAAAATCTTACATGCAGTTCCTTTAAATGACCAAGTTTGTGTTATCCATACAGATTCACTCCATAGAACTCTTCACGGCAACCCATTGGATTAGATTATTTGCATCGACCAATAACATTAATTCCAAGTACAGAGGCGTGTGAGAAATGTGTCCTTAAGCACGTCCCAAAACACTAAACTACATTTAATAGACATTATGCAACACCGTGAAAAGTCATTACTGTGGGGAAAAAAGACCAGGCTAACACTGCCCTGGGCACATGAGCAAGGCATGGAGATCCACTATGCACTGTTACCAGTGTCGGGGAGTAATGGATTACATGTACCAGAGTTACGTAATCAGAGTACAAATTATGAGTAACTGTATTCAGTGAGTGGTAATTGGATTACAGTTACTTTATTGTAAAGTAAGTAAGTTTTTTTTTCCCCCCGGTAATTCCACTCATTGTCGGTCTAAATCAGGTCTAAAACCAGGTCTAAAACCAGGTCTAAAACCAGGACTAAAACCAGGACTAAAACCAGGACTAAAACCAGGACTAAAACCAGGACTAAAACCAGGACTAAAACCAGGACTAAAACCAGGTACAAATCAGGTCTAAAACCAGGTACAAATCAGGTCTAAACCAGGACTAAAACCAGGTCCAAACTAGGACTAAACCAGGACTAAAACCAGGTCCAAACCAGGCCTAAACCAGGACTAAACCAGGCCTAAAACCAAGTCTAAACCAGGTCCAAATCAGGACTAAACCAGGTCTAAAACAGGATTTAACAGGACCTTGTTTCCTCGTCTTCTATCAATAATATTTTTAATACAGTCAAGTAAAGTCTGGGCAAAGACCAGGGTATCTTCACAAAACATCTTAAGTGAAGATATTCTGGTCTTTGCTTCTCTACAGCAAATCAAGTAATCCAAAGTATTCAGATTATGTTACTCACTTTAAGTAATTTAATGGATTATGTTACAAACTACATTTTGAGGTATGTAATCTGTAATCTGTAGGGGAATACATTTTAAAAGTCACCTTCCCAACACTGACTGTTACACTGTATGAATAAAGTCAAAGGTACACAAGACAAGCATGAAGCATCTCAGAACTACTAAGTGGATAATAAATCTGAAAACAAGATGAATCACCTGATATAAGTTTTAAAATCTTGGCCAGATCAGAGAAATTTGCAGTGAATAGATTCAAGTTTTTCTGTTGCAGTACTAGTTCCTGTTGACTGTATTGATATTTTGCAGCTGATGACATCACATCTTGGGAGTGTGACACTAACTGTAGGCTCTGCTCCAAGTCTCTCACATTCAATTACAGTCACAAGCTCGTTAGTATTAGCCAACAGTTTTTCAGTTAGTCTCTGTCACCTTTCTGTTGAAAATCAAACTCCTGAACAGGACCCTGAACGCTCGCACTGATCACAGGAACAGGAAAAGGTTCTTTAAATCACTTTTCTGTCTTTTTGTCAGTGTTTGCTAATGTGCGGACTGTGTCACCATGGTAACTGTTAAACATTCCACCATACAGAGAGATACAGGTAGAACACCCCCAGCGTGATGTCACTGCAAAGTATCAAGAGTCCTGTGTGAATATACTGCAGTGTGGCAGCAGGGTTCATTTATGGAGATGTTCTTGCTTTGCAGTAAAACTTTCATTTGTACTCGGAGTATTTTATTCTCAAATATACTTTGACAAATGTGCATTCTTAAACTCCACAGATCTGATCAGTAAATTGGCCTGTATGCATCACCTGCTTGTCTCCATGGATACAGATACATAGTTTTTGTCATACTGTGGAAAAGTGGGCAAAGCAAGACAAGCAAAAGGTACATACTGTATTTTCCGCACTATTAGGAGCTCTGGATTATAAGACGCACTGTCATTAAATGGTCTATTTTCGAACTTTTTTCACAAATAAACCCCACTGGACTTTAAATGAAACCCAACAGTGTGATGGGTGAGTGGTTTTGTTTGTTTGTGGCGTTCACGGTGACTCTGGGCTTTGTTCAGTTGTGGCGTGTAGGGAGGGTGCTGTCTGGGACCAACGGATTGTCGGCGTGTTCACAGTGACTCAGTTGTTCAGTTGTGTCTAGAAGTGGCACATTGCACTCGCTTTTTTGGTTCGTTCTTCCGTTCCGTTTGTGGAGTGATGAGTGTGTCTGTGGGTGTGTTTCTCTGTGCGGTCACTGTCTGCTCTGTGTGTGTTTGTGTGTTCTGTGGGTGGTGTGTGTTTGTAGTTTACTGAAGTCGTGCTGGGACACCCGAGTGGATTCATGTATAGGGCGCAGTCATTTTTGATGGGGTTAGAGGCTTAAGAGCGCGTCTAATAGCCTGGAAAATACGGTACATAGTTTTCTACACATTTCTAAAGGCGCTGTACCTCCTTTTAACTCTAAACGTGAAAAGCAGAACTAGCGCATTTTAAACAGTTTGCAGTGGTCCAAATTTACCTACTTCCTAATTATTCACTGTGTTTTTCACCAGTCACAGAGACCAGTGCAGTGCCAGCGTGGTGAAGATAACAACGCACACTTCCTGATCCAAAAGGAAACGCTCTCCAGTTAAATGCAGATGGCACATGGTGGACTTATTTGAACCTCTAGAGCTGCTTATGTAAGAAATCTGTACTGTACTTTGCTCAAATCCATGAGGAAGGCTCCAGGTATCTCAGAGGTGTTGTGGTAGTACCTCTTGTACAACTGCAGCTCCTCCTGGGCCACCATGAGCTGAGCCTTGAGCTGGTTCCTCTCCTGCAGAACCTCCTTGAGCTCCTGCATGGTGAAGCGTGGTCTGTTAGGATCTGTCAGGTCCACCACGAGCTGGTTGGGCCCCACTGTCTGCTGGACCACGACACAAACACAACACAAACACAAAAACAATGCAGTGTGTAAGACTGAGAAACGGAACATTCTCTATGGGAGGAAAATAAATGACAAAGGACTAAATCAGATCCAGAGGTGGGGAGTCTGCTGCAGTTACATTTACTTAACTACATAATTTAAGTCACTTTTTAAAGAGTACTTTTCTAGCAGTATATTTTTACTCCACCTTGAGTAATATTTTTATTGAAGTAACAGTACTATTACTTATGTATATGAATATGAAATGTTTGTCTAATTTTTTTGTCTATCCTTTAAAAATACCAGATTTTGTGCATTCTTTAATGTTTTGTCCTTTCTTTTTTTTTTTTTTCAATTATTTGTTTATTCATTTTCCAAGACAATAATTACGCATATGCAAATATTGTTTAAGGATCAAACATTGTCTTAAACTAAATCTTCCAAATAAAATACAGATTTTTACTATTATATTGAAAAGAGAGAAAGAAAAAAAGAAAAAAGAAAAATGGAAAAACAAACAGAAAACTCAATTTGGTAGCGAACAGAACATTGGGGAAATGAGCACTCAAATAAAACCCAAACGTATCATTTTAACAAAACTCAGCCAACCCTTCCATATCTTTTCGAATTTAATGTTTTGTCCTTTCAACGACGACATCGTCAAATTATAAATCTGAAGTTATGTACAGCTCCTCTTTAGGTCACTCTTACTTTAGTAGTATCTCCAAATCTTCCTTTTTTCTCTTGAGTCATTTCTTGGATCACTACTTTGTACTTCTTCTTGGTTAATATTAGTTACTCTTATTTGGGAACAATTTCTGGCCTCTCGATCCACTTCTCCATGGAGACGCTGCTTTTCCTGATGTTTAGCAATAAAAACTAAGTGGATGAATGGAAGAAAAGGAAAGGTTAAGGCCAGACTCTGGAAGCAAACCAATAACATCTCCATGGAAACGATCAGGTGACTGACCCTCCACCAGAAAGATCACATAGTGCGCCTTTAAAGCAGCATATTTCTGAAGGTCGAGTGTAAAACGAGGACAATACTAGAACTGAACCAGGACTAGAGCAGGTCTATCATTACTCCACCAGGCTCTTAATGAGGGAGGACTAAACCAAGACTAAACAAGGTCTATATCAGAACTATTATAGTTTTATCTAAGACGAGACTAAAACCTGGTCTAAAGTAGGACTTGAACAGGGTTAAAAAGGACTTGTCCAGAATTAAATCAGGTCTAAAGAAGGACTAAACCAGGACTAAACAAGGCCTGAGTCGTGACTCTCATGATTTTTCTTGAATCCAGGACTGAGTCTAAAGGAGAACTATGCTTAACCCAGGACTAAATAAGAACTAAACCAGGTCTAAAAAAGGACTAACGCAAGACTAAACACAGTCAGAGTCAGAACTACAATGGGCTAAACCAGGTCTAGAGGTGAAGTAATCCAAGTCTAATCCAGGACTAAACAAGAACCAACCAGATCTAAACCAAGACTCCCATCATTTCTATCTAAAGCAGGACTAAAGGAGGACTTTACCTGGACTAAACCAATAAGACAAACCAGGATGCTTTTTTTTTTAATGAAACTGGAAAAACAGGGTTAAAAATCCTGGAGTGGGTCTAAAGGAGTCCAAGTTTAACCCAGGACTAGACTAAATATGAATCAAACCAGGACTAAATGAGGACTAAACCAAATCTGCTGGCCCTCTGAAGTCTAGTCTCCTGGACTGGGTCTAAAGGAGTCCAAGTTTAATCCAGGACTCAACTAAATATGAATCAAACCAGGACTAAACGAGGATCTGTTGGCCCTGTGAAATATCTGAACTGGCTTTGGGGGTCTAAAGAACTAGTCCAAGTTTAACCCAGGACTGGACTAAAAAATAAGCATCAAACCAGGTCTAAAGGAGGACTAAACCAGGACTAAACAAGGCCCGAGTCGTGACTCATGATTGTTCTTGAATCCAGGACTGAACTAAAGTCTAAAGTCCTGAGTCTAAAGGAAAACTATGCTTAACCCAGGACTAAATAAGAACTAAACCAGGTCTAAAAAAGGACTGAAGTAGGACTGAACACAGTCTGAGTCAGAACTACAATAACTGGATCTACACCAGGAGTAAAAAAGGAGCTAAAATGGGCTAAACCAGGTCTAGAGGTGAAGTAATCCAAGTCTAATGCAGGACTAAACAAGAACCAACCAGATCTAAACCAAGACTCCCATCATTTCTATCTAAAGCAGGACTAAAGGAGGACTTTACCTGGACTAAACCAATAAGACAAACCAGGATGTTTTTTTTTTTTTATGAAACTGGAAAAACAGGGTTAGAATTCCTGGACTGGGTCTAAAGGAGTCCAAGTTTAACCCAGGACTAGACTAAATATGAGTCAAACCAGGACTAAACGAGGATCTGTTGGCCCTGTGAAATATCTGAACTGGCTTTGGGGGTCTAAAGAACTAGTCCAAGTTTAACCCAGGACTGGACAAAAAAATAAGTATCAAACCGGGTCTAAAGGAGGACTAAACCAGGACTAAACTAGTATAGGCCCTCCGTAGCATTTGAACCGTGGCTTTTGTTTGTGACTAGTGAGCGAACCGGGGACCGTGGGAACTGACCGTGCCCTCCCGGGATGCGCCCTGCTCGGACAGCACTTTCTGCAGCTCTCCTTTCAGGTTGTCCCGCTCCATGCGCAGCTCCTCCAGGGACAAATTGTATTTATTCACCAGCGTCTCGAACATCTCCAGGACGCGGACTATCCGGAACTGCAGGTCCGACACCTCCTCTCCCGAGCCGCTGATCTTCAACAAATCACGGCCGATCACGTAGGAAATATCGTACACATCTTCCACCGTGAGATCGAACGCGTCTTTGTCAAAAGCCAAAGCGGGCGACGTCTCCTCTCCGAACTCCATAGCTCCGACGCGGTTACGCACACACGGAAAGCGAACGCGGGTGTTGTTGCGTTGTGTTAAAGTTGTCAAAAAAATGTCTTCTTTTGAATCAGTCTCGCGGACAGTTAAAAAAAAAAGTTCCAGAGTTGAAGCACTTCCCCCATCACTCATCCACGTGACCGCGCTCCACACACAACAGAGGAGGGCAAAGTATCCTAGCGACAGGTGAACGCAGAGAGGAGGGCACGCAAGAGGATTCACCCCGCTACAGTTACATTTACTCAGTTACATTTAGCGGAGTAACATTTCATACCTTTACTCCTACGTCAAAAATATTTTATTCAAGTAACAGTACTCTTACTTGAGTAAAACCTGTGGTTCCTTTTCCCAGTGAAAGTCTACAAGTGACAAAACCTTTATTCTCACGATATGAAATGATTTAAAACAAACTAAAATCGTATTCCAGGTGCGCGCAAAGAACAGGGTGTAGAGTCAAGAGGACTGACTCCACTACACGAGCAGAGGGCAAAGCTTTCTGTTGACAGGTGAGCAACAAAGAGCAAGAAAGAGTGAGAGGATTGTGCACAAAAAGACTCACCTGCCTTTTGTGCACAAAGAGCAGCAGAGCGCGTGAGGAGTTCGTTTACGCGTACGTAATTCTCTGTGCGTAAAACCAGTAAAAGTGAAACCAAGTCATGTTATTACTTCGTGTTACTTTGGCTATGGTTTATTCTACTTGGACGTTAGATTACTTATTGTATACAGTACTTTAGGAGCTGGTTGGCAGCACAGTCCTGGCTCAGTGACAGGAGCAGTGAGAGGCAGGTTAGAGCTCTGTCTGCTTCTGCTGCTGCTTCTTCAGGGGAATCATTTGGATCTGCCCTTGTCATGGTTGTGTGGGGCATACACTGAACACAACAGACAAAGATCTTACATAAAATAACTTTATTCACTTTATTTACAGAGAAGCCTCAAAGTCCACATTCCTGCCATAAAACACACACAGGGCAGAGCCTGTGTGCTTTACAATAACACAACATTTTACAATTAGAAAATCACTAGTTAGAACTCCTTTTTGTTCAACTAGTTCAAAGTGCTACTTTTCTTGGATACTGTTGTGTGTAGTCTTTAAGGCACCATACTGTCATGGACTGACAACCAATAAAAAAAAAAACACATTAAAGCATTTAAAAGTGTCTGAGCGTTAAAGAATAAATAGTGTTAAAAGGTCAGGCGATGGAGAGTCTTCTGATGGGCATCAGGGTGGGGTCATCTGAGATCAGACCTGCTGCCACCATGGGCATGATGGCCGTGAAGATCCTACACACACACAAATTAGAGCAAAGTAAAAATCAGGTACAGCCGCTTTAAAACAGGCACTATAACAGTTCAGTGGCTCACAGTCTGCGGATGCCGGACTCGGGCCCCTCAGCAGCAGCAGCAGCAGGAGGCTCAGAACTCTCCTCCTCACAGAGCCCATGCACACTCAGGTCCTCTTCACACTCGTCCCTGCAGCACAGATCAGATCAGCATGGGGTTTATGAAGTCATCATTCTATTGTTTAATTGTCTGATCTAAAATCACAGGAGCACAGCAGACTCTTCCCTTTTGTGACACACAAATGTAGGAAAAAGCCAATGTCATCATTAGCTCAGTCATATTTTAAAAAGTCAGGCCATTCCCATGCTGTCCCCTATTCAAATACAAATAGAGATTTGAAATCTTTTTTTCCTACTGCCATGCACTTTTTCAAATGCAATCCTTTGTAGAATAAATGTGTGTTTATTTGGAGCTTCATTGAGCTCTGAGCTCCTCTTTGTTCAGAATGACTCTGTGTGTTGAATGGTGGTCACTGTGTTTTTACTGGTGACATTAACATGTCTGAACCTACACAAAGATAAACATGAGTCTAATGAAGAGGATGAAGAGGAGTGCACGTACGCTTTGTAGTAAGCCAGCTCCTCCTGCAGGAGGAACACCTGGGCCTTCAGCTGGTTCTTCTCGTGCAGGACGTCCCGGAGCTCCTGGAGGGTGAAGCGAGGGCTGTCTGACTCACTGCTGTCTGTGTCCTCCCCACAGTCTGCCCCCGCTGGCCGCTCCTGGTACAGCAACAATCTGAGCTTACACAAGATCTTAAACAAGACACACTGTGCTGGTTCTGCATGTTATAATCTATGACCCCCATAGACTCTTTAAAATGTGCAAAAGATAACAAAGTCCAAATACTGATTTAAAACGACTTCATGAAAGAAACAAGTCCACTGACTTTTAAGTTTAGAAACACAGTGGAGCACTTCCTGTATTACCACATGACATCACAAGATAGAACAGTGTTTTCTGTTTGAAAGAAGAAGAGAAAATGTGCAGGGTCTGTTTGTGATGAGGAAACAGCATGATAACATAGATGAGTAAACAGTGTCATCAGGGCTTTAAAATGCTCCAGACATAAAGTTGAGAGCACAGAGAGAATAAAGAAGTGGACCAAGTGTCACACCAGGATCATGTAGAGCAGGTAAATCTTTTAAAGATCAAAATGAAGAGCCAGCAGCTACAGAAAGAGGGCAAGTGTTTTTCAGTCCAAACTGTGACTAGCAGGATAAGTCCATTCATATATACAGTCTCTGGTCGACTCAGTGACTGGATAGTTTCTACATGTCTTACCGATAACAAAAGTGCTGCTTCGGTTTCCTCACAGTCGCCGGTGATCAGAGGCTCTCGTTCAAAACACGTGGCTAAAAACTCCGGGTCTCCTGCACACTCCACCCAGACTGAGCAGGGCTTCACTGTAGCGTCTGGAGGAGCAGGAGGGGCCTACGGGGAGTAAGCATGGAACAGACTACAGTCATGATATTGTTCATTAAATACATTTTCATTTCATTGCATATATTATGCTAATTAGGGTCTCACAAGTATCAGATACTAATTGATACCAATACTAGTACTGAAACTAGATACTCATTTGAGCAGGTATCAATACTGAAAGTCACATTGACTGGACAGAAATGAACCTTTCCTGGATGTGTTTAGAATGATGTTGAGCTGTACAGAACAAGTATCAGAGCACATAGACTAGTACACACATGGACCACACACATGAACCTACTGCACCACTGAGGATCACACACATATAACACACATGGGAACTGAAAAGAAAGTTCTACCATTTAATGTGAAAAATCACATTTTATTGTCTAGAGAAGGTGTTTTTTTATTTTCATTGTGCTATCTGAAGGGGTATTGAGTATCGAGTCTGTTCTTTAGTATGAAACCAAGTTTGTCTAATACTATTACTAATACTATTCAATTATCTCTACTCGCAAACAATAAAAAGATCTGTAGACCCTGCCTTACCCCGGTGAGAGGAGCGGCCTCAGGTCCTGACGCAGCTCTGCTCAGACCTGTGCTCATGTGCACAGGCTCCAGGTGTGAGTCCAGCTGCAGGTTCTGCAGATTCTGCAGGTTCTGCAGGTTCTGCAGGTCTTGCAGGTCCTGGAGGTCCTGAAGCTCCCTCTGCAGACGGGACACGTCCTGCTTCAGCTGGCCCAGCTCCTGTAGTCGTGCCTGGGCCACTGCCTCCAGTTCGGCCCTCTGCTGCACCAGGGCCTTCCCCTGAGCCTCCATCACAGCCAGCCTGTGACGCAGCTCCTGGTTCATCTTCATCACACGACTCTGCTGCAGCTGGAGCTACAAGAACACAAGGCAAGCTTTTCAAATAATCAGGAATGTCAACTAGAAAGAGATGCAATATTTCATTACTTTGTATGTACTGCAATTTTTTCAATACTTTCTGACTCAATAAGTTCAGTTAGCAAACAAAAATGCACATGTCTTCATTTACTAGTCAAACTGGGTCAAAACTAAAAGTTCTGATACTGGTATTGGATATCAGCACCAATACTGAAACATTTGCTGGATTGGATATCAGCTTCCAGATATCAGGTCAGCTGTTGGACGTATACACTGATGTATTCAAATTATTTACTGGTCATACTTGGCCCAGACACTCTCAGAATGTTTGATTTGTATTTACAGAGCTGTTCTGTAGATACATGAGAGATAAAGAACAGCTCCACAACACATCTGGATTTGGATCAGTTTTCTCTTATTTTATTTTAGTCTAAAAGAAATAAATGCTGTTTTCAGGCTCTCAGTGTTAAACACTGATATCTTAATATACTTAAAGTGACTCAGTGACGGTGTAGCAGGTCGTCCCACATGTACTGGAGTGAAGACCGTTTAAAGCCAAACTCTGAAACTTTATGGAACTATTGTTTACATACGAGTTAAATTAAATGTAACACTGAACATTTTCTAATGTTCCAAATCTAGAAGTGAATCAAAATGAAGATTTCAAATCCAATCACATTTTACAAATTACAAAAATACATTTTTGGTGCAGAGCTGGTTTAGCCCTAAACCAGGTCTAAACCAGGTCTAAACCAGGTCTAAACCAGGTCTAAACCAGGTCTAAACCAGGTCTAAACCAGGTCAAAACCAGGTCTAAACCAGGACAAAACCAGGTCTAAACCAGGTCTAAACCAGGTCTACAGCAGGATTAAACCAGGGCGTTTAGAGGCAACATAAAAATTACAAGTAAACAAATGTAATCTAATCAAACCAGGTCTACACCGGGTCTACACCGGGTCTACACCGGGTCTACATCGGGTTTAAAATGGAACTAAACCTACTTACACCCTGGTCTACACCAGGATTCAGAGATTATGAAGGGATTTTGAAATGGGAGAATGTTGATTTTTCATGAATGAGTCAGTGTTTGTTTTTGTGTTTTATTGCTCTGCTTGTTTAGCATGTTTAAACTGAAAGCAGTAAATATATGTGAAGAACCTCCCTCCAGAGACACTGGACTCACCGCGTCCACGTCGTGGCTCCTCCGTTCCAGCTCGTGCTCTTTGGAGCGGATTTCATCTCTCTGCTTGTCCACCAGATCCTTCAGCTTCTGCAGAAGCTCACGCTCTTTCTCTGACACTGCTGGAGGTTACCACAATCATTCAAATGTCAACTTTATTGTGCAAACTGCTGTCTACTGACAGAGCGAAAAATGTACAAAAAGGTGTGATTCTGTCCAGAGCTCAGCTTAAATACAGACAAGAGCATTCATTCACATTTGGGCAAAGACTGAAGTATAAACCAAAAATCCTGTGTGTTTCAGAGCGTGTTTGTAGAGGTCAGAAAACCAAAGCTGTTTGTTTTTGGTTACAGCAGACATTCTATGACCTAATTAACTATAATCTTCACAATTTGATAATTGCACAAAACTTTACTTCGACTAGATTTTGGTTTAATTGCAATATACAGTTTTGTGCAGCTCTGAAAGACAGTGGTATTCTTGAACAAAATGTAAATGTAAAGTCCCCATAATCCAACTGAATTTTGGGAAATCTTTGATTTTATGACTTTCTGTTTTGGGTTCACATAAATCATTAAACTGAGGATTTCAACTGTTATTAAAAATACAGAATGTAAAACTGGAATCCCATGTTTCAAAAGCTTCTCACATTATTAAAGTACAGTTGAACACTTTTGCCCTTTTACTAAATGATCTTAACCCACATAATCGTGGGGGGTCCCGGGACACACGCATGTTTATTTTGGGGTATGGAGGACCTACATTCAGCTGAGGAGGGATTTGGCAGAGGTATAAACACTGCAGCAAACATATCCTGCTCCTCCATGACGAGACTCACAGCACACAGCTATATTTGTGTCACGTCCAAAATAGTCCCCTAGACCGTGTAGGTGAGCGGAAACTACTGCAAACAGGGCTAGGAACCACCTCACACTTGAGCTTCAATGTGCCAAGTTCTGTGGAGAAGAGGTGCCATGAACTCACTAAATGCACTGTTATCTACACAGACACTCGTCTTTATGGAAGACTGTACTATTTTAAATGAAATATCAGACAGTGCTATAATGGGAATAGTTGTAAATATAGTTGTAATAGTTGTAAATAACAAGTTCTGTCCAATGTGTGGCCCTGTAGAGGACAAACAGACTTGTTATCATGGATTAGTCAGGTTTTAAATATAAACTGTGCGTAACCTGCAGTTGTGCTGTTCAAAACTGTTCTAAAAGGTGTTATGATCACATCTGAACATGTTGCCTGGGCCTTAAACCTTCAGATGGAGGAAGACAAGTCAAACCTTTCATTCTCAGTTTGTGTTCAGGCCTCATGTGAAGCTCTGAACCTCCAGAATTCCCTTCCTGAGCTGCAGAGGCTGCACTAGCACTGACTCATGACTGGTGCAGGTGCTGGAGTTTAGGTTCAGATCAGATCATCATAAAAGGTTTAGACCAACAAACTGGACAGAGACTCATGTCAGGCTCATTCTGCTTTCTGACTGGATAATTGTCTTGAAAACTGAAACATCAACTTGTAACATAAAGAAATGTGTTATGTGTCTGGGGACACAGTTTGTGATGATTTCACTTTGCAGAATCTGGGTCAAATCAAACAGGTGTTGTATGGTTTGACACAGCTTCAGATTGCAGCTGCACTTCACTTCTCCGCTGAACTCACTGGCCCCTGGTGCAAAGCTCTTCAGTGTGAACACCCTCGCTGTGAGAGCACTACAGGTGATCTTCTGTCACTCTGCATGTTTCCACAGAGCGGATGTTGCTCAAGGTAGTGTGTGTGCAACTGAGACGTGCCTGAACCGCAGGAGTGATGATCTACAACACTTCCCACTATTGTGGTGCAAATGCTGCTACTTCAGCCCTAAGTGTGGAGGCTCTTGTAAGTGTCGTGTAGACTGTTTGTGGTGGTCCTTACCCTCCTGCTCCTGCTGTGGGTCCACTGCCACAGGACTCTGGGGGACAGCCTGGAACAGCTGCAGCCTCTTGTTGTCGCTCTGGAGCTCAGAGATCTGAGACAGAAGGTCCTGAACTTCAGACCTCCACACGTCCTCCACCATCTCCAGCTCCTGAGCGGAACAACAACAAGTGACAGTGTGAACAGCTTTATTCTCCACACATGTCCTCATGGACGGACTGGTGTATGAGATGAATGTTTTGACTCCAGAGTGGACACACTGCTCTAAACGTCCTGACCCTAGACCACTCCGGTTCTATAACCCCCCCCCCGAACGCCCCACAGACAATAATGAAGTAAAGGTGAGACCATCTGGTGCCTGCGGTCCAGCTCGTAGCGGTCGTTGCGCTCCTGTCTCAGTCTGTCCAGCTCCAGTTGCAGCTCCTCGGCCTTGTTGCGGGCCCCTCCGTAGTTCACCAGGGCCTCCAGCAGCTCCAGCACACGGACCACTTTAGGCACCACTCCGACCATGGCCTCGCAGCCGTAGCGGTCTATGACCCGCTCAAACTCATGTCCCAGCAGCGCGGCGATGTCGTACACGTCCACCACCGTGAGCTCCGCCGCGGGTCTGTCCAGCGCGGACACGGCACCGCTCTCCATGTCTTTAGTGTCACAGCTCGGTGTGTGTGAGCGCTGCTCCGGCTCTGAACATGTCTCTGTGGTCTGTGCTGGGACACGCCGCGCGCTCACATGGCCCGCAGACACAACGAGCTTTCACACACTCCTCTGGCCCCGGGGCTCTGCGTGTCCCGCAGACACAGCGCAGACGACACGGTGGGATCGGGTCGGACCTGTTGGATCACTTGTGTGTACACAGTGTGTGTGTACACAGTGTGTGTGGATCACGCTGAAAAGTTTGGTGGGAGTCGTGTCTGCGCGTGCCTAATGCGCGCACTCCTGTTGCATTCAAGGACACACAGCAACGTGGGACCAAATTGGACTGTTCATAATGGCAATAGTTAGATTAAAGGAAGTCACAAACGTTCAATCAGAACTACAGAGTCTTTATAGTAAGTACAGCCTGTTGTGAAAAGAACAACAAAAATATCACTCTTAGGTCATCCTGGCCACGTGAGGCTCAATAGAGTGTGAGACAAATGTTCCCAAAGCCTAAAAGATGCTTTTTCTCTGTCCAGCTCCCAACTCCCAATCGGGACTCGAACCCGCGACCTTGGGATTCAGGCGAAGTTCGAAGCCAGAAACATCTATTAAAGTGAAAAGGAGCGACATGTGGAGCGGTCCGGCCACAGGGGGGCGCTCACGGAACTCTCTCCAGTGCAAAAACCCGCCGCTGTGCCACTGTGCCACTGTGCCCAGACTGTGCCCAGACTGTGTATGACTGTGTATGATGCCCACCGAACCTGAGCCAGTCTCACGTTCTGTCATGTTCTAACTGATTTTCAAATGTCACAGAGCAAACGGGAGTTTGCATAGAAAACACATTTTAGTTTTGGCAAAAACTAAATATTATAGTCCACAATGTTTCAGGAATTGATTAATAGGAGTTTAATTATTTTAAATCATAAAGATTAATGAATAACTAAATAAGACCCATGAAAGGGATCATTATGTTTCAGGCCCGAGCACCAACTGGGTACAAAGTGTCCCCGTTATATTTACATTTATACTGTATCACTAGTGCAGTATGTACTGTATGTAGGAACTATGCACATTTACTGACCAACATCTCACATTTAACCAAACTTTAGAGAGTCACACATGAATGACCAAACACAATCAAATCAAACATGTAGAGTTTATTTGACATTTACACTTGGTACAATGAGAAACCACCATTATCTTTACTAAAATATATTAATTGATCTGAGCTTATAAAGAGACATAATTCATCCAGAGCAAAGAAGAAGAAACAAAAGGAGGCGACCCTGTTCCACACGTCCCAGAGGATGTGACCTGGAGCACACCAGCACATGACTTGAGTCCAAACATTCAGTGGACACCACAGCGTCCGAGCTGCTCACACACACCAGCACATTCAAGGCCTCTGAACTGTCACGTCAGATTAAAAGGCAAAGGCAGAGGTATGTTCAAGATTTCCAGCAAAATATAAGACATCTTTCAGCTTTAATACACAGTGTGACAAAAAGGTCCAAAGTTCCACTAGGCCAAGGCGCTGCAGTCTCTTAAGTAGTTCATTCTTCACGTTTATTAAAAGCAGAAGTGTTTAAATCTAATTTTTTAAAAAAATACAATAAACTAAACTTGGTAGGAGCCAGATGTTTTATCCTGAATGCCAAAATAATAGGTACAGTTGCATTTGAACAGGCCTGGGGATTTCTCAGATGGTTTTGGCAAAAATCAGGGGGTCGGTGTCAGGATTGTCAGCGAAACGTTTAAAAATACAAATAAAAGGGACAGGTCCCAGTGTCTCGTGCTGATCATGGAGTCAGGTCTTTATTTGAACTGAAAAACAAAGAGAGAGATTGATTTAAACAGCAGTAGTCAGAAGTTGCAGGTTTTGGTCAGCTTTAATGAGCAGGGCTGGACATTTTCAGCAAAATATCTAATTGCGATTTTTTTCTGACAAACACTGTGGTTATGTCTAGAATTGATCTAGAGTTTAGATTTTGATTTCAGTCATTGCAGTCTTCACAATTTGCTAATGGCTTCTGCAGCTTGTGATTTAGATTTTGCAATTAATGTTGCAGCCCTAATTTTAAATATGGTTCTTTACCACAGGGCCGGAGCCACAAGGACGCACCTGAGAACAGCAAAGAAACCGTAGGATATAATACATTTAAAATTTAACATTGGGCCTCAAGAAAAAGTTGGGCCCCAGGGTCAGAAAGGTTAAGAACCCCTGGACTAGACTCTTGGTTTCCAGGCTGAGGATTAATGGAGGTTGTGGAGCTCAGGAGACCAGATGAAACCTTTAGGACTCTCCATAAAGTTTTTTGGAAAGGGATATGGGCAACATAAGTTCCAGTTTAATATTGTGAAATAAATAAATGCTTGTAAGGAAGTATTTTTGTCAGAGTTTTGAGTTTGAAGGGTTCAGTTAGTCTGGCACGAGCAGAGGAAAAATGTTTGGGAATTACAATACTACAAAATGTTATCTTAAAATGAAATCTCTTAAATATCTATATTGCCGACTGCTTCCTCCAGCATTTTGTGTCAATAAGAACAATATTTACACAATCAAGTGTTAGCTACGAGAGGGACTGAACACAGGCCAGAGAAATGTCCAGTGTCATAAGTGGTCCATGTAGGGTCTCACCATGTTCTTGGGTGGGACATTGGGCTTCTGGGCCAGAGCGGGCTTCTTCATGAGTGTAGGTTTGGAGGTTTTGGGGGAGGCGGGGGCCAAGCCGTTGCCGTCGGCGATCTGGTCCAGAGGGACTCCTGCCACCTCGTAGTGCTTCTTTCGGAGCTCACCCAGACGCAGACGCTCGTTCTCCAGCATAGTCTCCAGCTCCAGAACCTTCACCTGCACACGGGAGAGAGACAGAGACAGAGACAGAGTCAGAGATAGAGACAGAGACAGAGACAGAGACAGAGACAGAGGGAGACAGAGACAGAGGGAGACAGAGACAGAGGGAGAAGGTCATGAAAGTTCAAATATCAAATTGCCTTTACATTCTTAAGAAATGTTTCTATGGTGATTTAAACTCCTTTTTCACACCCACTTCTCCTCTTGGTCAGCCTCTGTTACACTGTGAGTGACAGCTGGAGACCACAGAAGTGAACTCACCCACTGCTGTTCATGAGGAATGGTTTTCATACAAAACTCGAGCGAGAGGATCTCTGCTAACGCTCTGCACTCATGAGTCAGCACATGATACTTGCCTGTGACTCCATTTCCTCCTTTTTGAGTTTGATGAGAGACATCCCTGAGAAGTCCATAGTATCTGCACACAGAAGCACAGAAGTAAACGTCACATTTGATGTCATATCTCACAGACTCCAGTCATGTCTCGCTCCCCTGACCTTTCTCCTCGAGGTTCTCCTGGCCCGTCCTGGTGGAGGCCACCACGTTGGCGGCCATCTCGTTGACGTAGCGTGAGGCCTGCTGCAGCGTGGACAGACGCTTACTGCTGCGGTCAGCTTTCACCTGACACAGAAACACACGTAAGACGACAAATACACACAAGAACACTGCATCAGGAAGGTAAAATCAGAGAGCAGAAGTGGTACCTTAGAAGCAGCCACCAGCTGTGCAGTACTGGCAGCGATCTCATGTGAACACACGATGAGTTCTTCATATTTGCCTGTGTGCAGGACCACTTTATCTGCAGAGTCCCTGTGGATTAACAAACAAAGGTACAGAAATATAAGACAAATGTGTGGGATTCTTGGCAATGGTGTGTTTTTATTAAAGCAAATGTCCAAAAAAAGCATTAATTTCCAAGAAGAAAACTGGATTGATTGAGACTGCACTAGAAGATGGATACAGATGGGGTTTTGGATCTCTTGTGTTGTCTTTGAGTAAAGCAGAGAAGAGAAAACATGAGAAAACACTTCATCATGTTTTGGAAGGGAGGGGTTTAAACAGCCTAATAAGAATGATTGACTGATAATCTCTACAGGGCGGGAGTTAGAAAGACTGACTCTGTGGTAAAAACCTTCAAAATATTAAGAAAACTCATTTAGAAAAGAACAGCCCCTGTAGTTTGAAATACCCCCAGAATGAAAATCGACTAGTGTCATGCTCTTCAAACTGGTCAATTGGACAGTGGACAGAACTACTTGAGTACTCCTTAATGCTACATACTAGGACTGCACAAAATATTGCAGTCGAACCAAAATGCCAATTTGAGCGGGCACAATTATCAAATCAAAAAAGTGCATTTTTTTTAGATAATGTCCACTACAAATATCAAATGATCCTATCTTTTTATAGGGCTGGGTATCATTAAGAAGTTGTCGATACGATACATAGCTCGATACACAGGCCACGATACATATCTCGATACAGTGCACTTTCGATTCGATATGATATATTTCAAATCGATTCGATACAGTCCAATAAAAAATAAAGTCTAAATCATTGCTGTGATACTAAAAGTGTTTGTTAAACCACTTCTTGTGCAAAATTCATATGAAACACAAACATTTTAATCATCAAAACAGTGTAAAAATGTCAAATGTGTTGCATAAATGAGTTTCCTTTCACTCCACAAGCAACAAAACTGTAGCACTGTAACAAAATAATTTAGTAAAACACACATAAAATTACTCTTGGTGATATATAGATACAGTAGCCCACGATATCGATACTGTATAATCACATTAAACGATATCGATATTCCGATATTTTTGCACACCCTTATAAAATAACTTGTACTGTAGTTTAGACCTCCACAAATATGTTCTGAAAAAATAGGAATTTTATTAGATTATTAGTCCATATTTCACTTCTCTCAAATGTTAAAGCTCGTGTGGTAGTTTATAATGTGCACTCACAATGGGCCGTGTACGTGAGTGAACAGAATGATACTTCTGCACGTATACTGCATATACTACAAATCCCCCTCCCCCCCCTCCCATCCATGAGGGACCGCGGTGAGACTTACACCAGCTCAGTGGCTCCCCAGCCCACAGCCTTGGCCGCAGAGATCAGCCCCTCTGTCCAGCGCGAGTTACGGGCATAGAACTCTTTGATGGACGCTGCGCCCTGTACACACACAGATACACACAAACAGATACACACAGAGCATTAGACAGAGATAGAACTTTATTAATCCCAAAAGAAATTTCAATGCAGACGGGTGCTTTCATACAGACAACAGCATCCAGTCTTTTCAGGTTTATCATTAGCGACGTGCTTGAGATGAATGCAGGAGCAGACTGTAGGACTCACCCTGCCGCCCTCCACGATCTCCTTCTGCAGATCTGTGGAGGCCACCACCAGCATACGGATGGCCTGAGACACACAAGAGCGCTACATTACAACACTGCACACAAACACTTTGTTGGGATAAAGAAAGTGGAGCAAATGTACCTTCATCAAGTCTGTGCAGCTGTTCAGGATTCTGTAAAAAGAACATCCAAAGTGAAATTAGGTCATGTGGTCTGTTCTCCAAGCTCAGACTTCAGGTGACCGGTGTTTTTTCTGGTTATTGCTTAATGTAAATAAGTAACTTTTTTTTTACATTTTGTTTTGCTGATCTTAAACAACTTCAAAGAAATGTGTTCACTGACTTCCTGTTCAAAACAGAAGAACTGATCCTCTGCTGCTGGCCCCGCCTCTTCATTATGTCAGTGGATTTTTGTTTGCCATGATTTTATGAATTCTAATAGAACATATTTGTGTGCGTGCCCTTTATTCTTAAAATACCTGAAGTTGCTCCTTGCAGAGAAGGATTTGAATAAATACTATGTGCACATTTATATTATCGATTGATATATGATGGGCACCATTTTGAAAAAAGAGACTTCCTTTGTTAAAGCAAGATATCGCTTTGTTCTGTGTTGTATCTGTAAAATATCTGTGTATCTAAAAATCTCAACTATGTAGAGAGGGAGGACAGACATCTGAGCTCTCCAGCCTCAAACACAGGATAATAGAGCATTACTCTGTTGGGCGAATTAGTCTAAGTACCGTATTTTCCAGGCTATTAGTTGCTCTGGATTATAAGGCGCACTGTCATTAAATGGTCTATTTTCAAACTTTTTTCACAAATAAATTGATTTAAATGAAACCCAACAGTGTGATGGGTGAGTGGTTTTGTTTGTTTGTGGCGTTCACGGTGACTCTGGGCTTTGTTCAGTTGTGGTGTGTAGGGAGGGTGCTGTCTGGGACCAACGGATTGTCGGTGCGTGTTCGCAGTGACTCAGTTGTTCAGTTGTGTCTAGAAGTGGCACATCGCACTCGCTTTTTCGGTTTGTTCTTCCCTTCCGTTCCTCATCGGCGTGGAGTGATGAGTGTGTCTGTGGGTGTGTTTCGCTGCGCGGTCGCTGTCTGCTCCGTGTGTGTTTGTGTGTTCTGCGGGTGGTGCAGCTTTGTAGTTTACTGAAGTCGTGTTGGGACACCTGAGTGGATTCGTGTGTATAGGGCGCTCTGGATTGTGGGGAGCGCGGTCGTTTTTTGATGCAGTTAGAGGCTTAAGAGCGCGTCTAATAGCCCGAAAAATACGGTACTCCTGAGTAATCTAGTGATGAGGGAACACAGCTGTAACATGGTTAAAAGCTCATAAAAGCCCATTTGCATAATATGTCGACATGATTAGAAATGTGAAACAGACAGAATGTGTGTATGAGATCCTGACCTCTCATTGACCTCCAGTTTGACTCCTGTAGTGTCTTTTCTGGCCTGGTTCATCATTTCCTAAACAGACAGAGCAGTCCTTTAGACCAGAACTCTATAAAAGGTGTATTGTAGTGAGGTGACTGGCAGAAGGCCTCACATCGATCCTGCGCACTGCCTCCTCTATGGCCGCTGAGGTGGCAGCCATCTCTTTATCCACCAGGTCCCCCAGCTCGTCCTGCCGCACGTCCATCCCTTTGGGACGCAGCTCCTGTACAAACAAAACACCGATGTGATGTTTTTCCTCATCACAAACACACCTGGAGCTGTTTTTTCTTTCATTCACACACTCTGTTCCACCTTGTGATGTCATGTGGTCCAAATACTAAAATTATTTGGACAATTTTAACCCTGGAATTGCCCATCTCTACTGGACTAAAGGAAAAAGCTGTTACCTATAAAACTACCACTTCATGACATCACAAGGTGGAACAGAGTATTTTGAGCGCTGGAGCTGTAGACAGACTAATAATAAAGCAATAAATAGTCGATAGAACAGATGTGTCGTCCTCACCTGTCCTAAGTGCAGGATCTTCTGGATGATGAGGCGGACAGAGGCAGGGTCGGCTCTCTGCAGAGACACTTTGGCCTTCAGATCCTGGAGGTACTGCAGACTCTGAGTGGCACAGCTCCTGCAGTTCTCCGTCAGTCCTACAGGGAAAAACACATTTATGTAACACACCAAGAGTTGAACCTTACAGAAAACCTTTTCACGATATTAACTGATTTTAAAGATATGAATTAATACAAAATCAACAGATCCTTTTAGTGGTCAGATTAAACGAGCAGTGAAAATGCCTTTCATGTGTATTGTTTTTAAGATACATTGATTAATGATTAGGTCAGCATTCTTTATCTCCAGCCAGTCTACAGAGGATCTCTCTCTGCACTTACTGTCTGCGTGGTCGGTGGGGGCCATGTGCGCTGTGGCACTGCCGTTCACGATGGTGTCCGCAGTCAGGTGGGAGAACTGGGTCACTGCCCTGACCAGTGCTCCAGCATCTGTGCACATGGAACATCACACTAATGATTTATTCCACATTCAACTCAACACACAAGTGAAGAAGATGTGACAGAACTGTACCATTCATGTTTCTCATGTAATCTGAATGACCCTTCTTCAGGCTGTCGATGGAGCCGAGGGCCGCCTCCGCCCGACTGATGAGATAATCTGTTTAGAGCAGAGATAGTGTGACTTCAGTACACAGTATGGACACTATATATGAGTACACTATATATGTATGCAGAGTATGTATGCAGAGTATGTATGCAGAGTATATATGCAGAGTATATATGCAGAGTATATATGCAGAGTATGTATGCAGAGTATGTATGCAGAGTATGTATGCAGAGTATGTATGTATGCAGAGTATATAGAGTATGCAGAGTATGTATGCAGAGTATGTATGCAGAGTATGCAGAGTATGTATATGTATGCAGAGTATGCAGAGTATGCAGAGTATATATGCAGAGTATGCAGAGTATGCAGAGTATATGCAGAGTATGTATGCAGAGTATGTATGCAGAGTATGTATGCAGAGTATGTATGCAGAGTATATATGCAGAGTATATATGTATGCAGAGTATATATGCAGAGTATATGCAGAGTATATATGCAGAGTATATATGCAGAGTATGTATGCAGAGTATGTATGCAGAGTATGTATGCAGAGTATATATGCAGAGTATGTATGCAGAGTATGTATATGCAGAGTATGTATGCAGAGTATGTATGCAGAGTATGTATGCAGAGTATGTATGCAGAGTATATATGCAGAGTATATGTATATGTATGAGTATGTATGTATATGCAGAGTATATATGCAGAGTATATATGCAGAGTATGTATGCAGAGTATGCAGAGTATGTATGCAGAGTATGTATGCAGAGTATGTATGCAGAGTATGTATGCAGAGTATGTATGCAGAGTATGTATGCAGAGTATGTATGCAGAGTATGTATGCAGAGTATGTATGCAGAGTATGTATGCAGAGTATGCAGAGTATGTATGCAGAGTATGCAGAGTATGTATGCAGAGTATGTATGCAGAGTATGTATGCAGAGTATGTATGCAGAGTATGTATGCAGAGTATGTATGCAGAGTATGTATGCAGAGTATGTATGCAGAGTATGTATGCAGAGTATGAGTGGAAGTGGACCTGGGGAGCTGGTGCAGCGGATGTGCAGAGGGTCATCGATCTTGGCCACAGCGTCCTGGATGATGCTTTCAGCCTCACTCACAGTTCCCTGAAGCAGAGCAAACTGCTCCTCCAGCAGCTTCTGCTTCAGCTGCTCCTCCTGACTCGTCTGACCACAAACACAACACAATCACTATTTCAGATAGTCTCCCAAAATATCTGTGTCAAGGTAACACAGTCAGTAAAAGACTGGCCTCAAACACTGTGAGCACTCTTCAGTCAGTTCTATTACAATACAACAGCAGCAGCCGCAGCCGCAGCAGGTGCCATCACTCACCTTTTGGTGCAGTTTGCTCTGCAGCTCTCCCAGCTCCCTGCTGCTCCTCTCTTTCTCCTGCTGGAGTGAGGACTGCTGGAGCTGAGCAGACTGTCTGAGAGAGGACAGCTCTGCTTCCTTCTCACTCACAGAGCGCATCAGACGCTCTTTCTCTGCCTGCAGAGCCGACATGGAGCTGCTCATTTGTTCTGACGCCTGTAACACACACAGGGGCCAGTGTCAGTGTACAGCTCACACATGTACAAGAACTCACAAACTCATTAAGATCCAGCATCTTGTCCTGATGAAACAGAGCAGCGAGGCAGACGTCTACATAAGCAATTCAATGATAAAATCACATGGCACTGAACACAACACACACACACCAACTGAAAAAAGTGTAGAAGAGAAGCAGCAAGTGTCCGCAGCAGCCTTGTGTGTTTCCTGTTATAGTGGGTGTGTGATGTGAGAGGAGCTGACCTGGGAGAGTCCCTCTCCACATGTGTGAGCTACAAAAGCACCAGTGCTGGACCTACACAGTCAAGTCACAGTTATGTTCTTCTACAGCAGGTAGGCAGGGTCTTTTATATACAGCACACAATTGTGTAAAGAGATTTTCATGGGTTATGTTTACGGCACAGTTCTGCTGTGGGATTGTTTTAATCTGCTTTACACAATTTGAGCAAATGCAGTAGTAACTGAAACAGAAACATTACTTGCTTCTGATAAATGACGTTTTTAGTTAGCTGCTGTGGGATTTATAATTGTTGTTCAATGGTTGATTTTACTGTTGTGTTTTGGCAAATAAAACATTGCCTACTGGCAGATTTTTGTGGACCCCAGTTTTGTAATGTGGAAATATTTTGGCCCTCAGGGAAATTTAAATGGAGACCCCTGATCTAAATCTTTTATCTAAAGCCTGTCCAAACAGTGAGCTGAAGTGTGCACAGGGTTACAGGTGTCATGTCCCAGCCCCACCTGCTCTGTGTTCTGGAGAGATGACTTGATGCGCATCATCTCTGTCCTCTTCTCCTCCAGCTCCCTCCTCAGCTTCTCCATCTCAAACTTCTGTTCCTCCATCTGTACACACATATATACATACACAGATGAGACAATAGTACACTGTAGGTGTGCTCTGTGCACAACACTGTGAGTAACACTGCGAGTAACACTGACCCTCATGTCGGCCTCCTGTTTGATGCGGTCCATCTCGAAGGACAACTGCTGTTTGGTGCGCTCCACCTCCTCTTGAGTCTGCTGCGTCACTGACAGCATCTTCACTGTGTCTGCACTCTGAGGAACAAGGTACATTAGTCCAAGGTTCTTTCTCTTAGTCTTTAGTCTGTGAGAAAACAATTACAAACTGCCACATGTGAGATCTAAATGGTAAATTAGTTGAAAATTTGTTTATTAGTTGAAAATGAAGCATAGTAGTCCCACAAAACTCTTGTGTAATCTAAAATTCCAGTGTACTTTTTTCATAAAATTTTTGAAACAAAATAAAAATTGGTTCTAATCAGCTGTAAGATGCATCATGAGCAGAGTGCACATTGTTATACAACTACTACTATAGAATTTTGAAATTTGATAAGGGGAAACATTTGACCAGATTTTAGGTTTGAAATGTTTTGAGACAAAAAATAAGCAAACTCTGACCAGCTCCATTGGGCTGGGCAATTGCTCTCTTAAGAACAAGATGTTACTGACCGTTGGGAAGCAACAAAATTATGAATGTACAGTATTTACTATTTAGTACCATCATTAATGCAGTAATGGAGGTAAACTCTGTCTGAATTTAACCTGTAACAGCTCCAAGTAATAGTTCAAATTCACATGGAAGAGAATTCTCTAGTGTACCTTCCGTAGCAGCTCTGCGTGACTGGCCACCAGCTCTGTGTTTGTCCTTGAGCATGTTGTAGCGCTGCTCCGAGGCCTGGGCTTTCTCTACAACACATATGATCACACACTTATATAACAGGGGCTTTACCCACACCAGTCAAATGTATGAGACACTGCTCCACTCACTCTCAGCCTCCAGGAAGGTGGCTTGCAGCCCCTCGTGCTCTGCGTTCCTGCGCCGTGTGTTCTCCAGCTCCATCCTCAGATGCTCGTTCTCCAGAAGAGCTCTCTGCTTCTGTGCCCTCTGCTCCTCCAGCTCTGCTTCCAGGCTGTTGATCTGAGACTTGAGCTGGGTGATGTAGCGCTGGGCCTACAAAGAGGGAA